TGCTACAGGCAGCACGCACTTCCTATGGAAAAGCGAGTTGGGATCCGGCAATATATCCTGAATTCATGGCTTCTCTGAATTAGTGAAGTAATCTACATGGGTGTCACAAGAGTATGCGAATTAAAAAACGAAAATCGGAAATGAGGCTCCCAAACTGTTGTCTACTGTCCGACCCTTATCATATTTATAACTTAAAAAAATTCGAGGAAAACATGTTGGCAAAACCCTGTGAACTGGTATGAAAACACCCTTATTCGGTAAACATATCCCCAAGATTTGGGGAGTCACTGCACTGAGGCGCAGTCCTCTCCTACTACACCGCTGTGGCCCGGGTTCGATTCCTGCCCGGGCCCACATGTTGATTGGGATTTCAGTCCCTACCTGTTTCCGTGGGTTTTCCCCAAAATATTCTTCTGGGGTTTTCATACCACCTGTAAAACTGTATTGTCTCCTCATTGTCTTCTCTACAGCCTTTCTTCAGGCTTTAGTACATACAGCACTTTTGAGGAATCCTTGGTTTCAGTACCAGAAAGGAAGGAAGAAGTTTAGTGCCTGTAAAAATTAATTCGATAAAAGGCAAAACTCAGCATAAATTTGCATCTCCATGTCTCTTAATTCCACCAAACAAAATATCACACATTGCAAGTGCAACCCGACAAGACTTCTAGAGCACTGTTTCCCAGCCTTGCACGCAGTAATGCACACGCTAGTAATACCCACAGTCTCCACGACAATTACAATAGCACAGCGGGCCTGGTCGCCGACACGACAAACCCCACTCTTCACAGAGGCGGGTTGCTCTAATTGCTCCAACAAGTTGTATCAGGGTGTCCCGTGGGGTGTCTAAACAACTCCCCACGGTCCAATCTACACAGGCCCGTCTGTGACCTCACCAGTTCACGGTTAATCGCTTCTAAATTCGTGAGCCAGGCTGTTATTTCTAGGCGGCGGGTTTACTTTTTTAGCCATGAGATTTTTTTAGTGTCACTGTGAAGATCAGGGTTTTGTTTTGCCGTTTTGTTGGGCCATGTCGGAATGTGTCCCCGCCCTTGACTTGTACATTTCACTCGGTGGAAATAATTAGTATAAATTATTACCACGCCCCGTATCATGGTCACTTTAATCATTTGTTATTTGCTGCGGTAAAGTTTAACACAATAATACGCGTTGTGACCAAGAATTAGCAACATACAAAAAAAAATCTTCAAGCGTATGGAATTTTATGGAGGATGACAAAGTTTTGAAAATGAACAAGATATATAGTCTTTTAGAGAATAGGGCCAGGCTTACTTGGAGTCTCTAACGCGTGTGGGTTCTTAATAATCATACAATTTTACGATTTTTTAAACATAAGTGGGTTTTAAAGGAAGCTTTTCACTGGTACATAATTCTTGGTGTTTTTTTATTGGAATTCACCAAGAGTCCGTGAACTTGTTCAGCTCGTGACGTCATCGTTTGGTGCGGTCTTGGTGGTAACTGATTCATAAATTTATTTAACGTCATAAGCAAAATACTTGTGGGTATGAAGATGCACCCCTCTTCATACCTTGACTGCGGGATGTTATAATAAAGGAAGAAATATGTATGCCACATTCCAGGCATAATTTGTGTGTGTGAAGGCGATGCAACCAAACATGGATTACTAAATACCCCCTAGGTATTTTTGCTAGGATGTAGGGCCTCAATCCTGCAAAATCTTCCAACTGCCTTCATGTAAAAACTGCATACTGCCTCAATCCAACTATCACTGTCAATATATTGAGGCAGAGCCAGTGACATCCTGGGGGAGTGAAATTTCAAGTATAATCTAGGCCTAAATGTATGCACGGCTGAGTATAAACAACACAAGGTCCGGCATATAAGTCCTCGACACAGTGCTTTCTCCAAAATCAGCCACACTTGTTTTGCCAAATAGTTTTCAATCCCGTCAAATCCTCCAAAAAGAGGATGTTAGAGGATTTGGGAAAGTTAGGGTAGTGACCATTAATAGGGGCCTATCTGAGGAAAAGATGCACCCAAAGGTATTTAACTACATATGCCTACATAAGAACAGAAATTGTGCAAAAAAACCCCAAATAATCGTGTAAATATATATAAATATAAACTTCAAAATGTGTAGTAAATAAATAGAAATTAAACAAACAATACAAAGAAAAATGAAAATTGAAATTTGGGACAGAAAGTAAACAAAATAAATAGACACAAAGTAAAGAACAAAAAGAGAACTCAATAATGGTATAAAAATAAAAAATAAAAGCAAGCTACTGTTTGACGCATTTTATTACAGTTGTTAAATACTCACAAAAATACAAAGAGCAAAGGTTTTGAAATAAAATGTTTGGCACGTGTCAAAAATGTCAACAAATGGAGTATTATTGACATTCATTTGGCCGACTCATCAGAGCTTATTACGTTCCAGGCATATATTTCTACAATGTGAACCCCATAGGCATGTAATAAGGTACAAAATAATTACAAGTTGCCTGGTTATCGATTGCATTATCGACGACTGCACGAATGAAATTGATATGCGATGACGACGTTGCAGCAGTTTATTTGGAAATTTGACGCCAATGTCACCACAGTTGGTTTTTTTTGTTTCAGTCTCACATTGTTTCATTGCACATTGAAGTAACATCGTATTATATGCAGGATGAGCTGAAAAACGGAGGACGGACCCATTCGGAGTTTCTACTAAAACATTCTTTGAATCAGATTACCACATTGTGTTAATTTTAAAATCCTGTTGCCAAAATAAAACAGTTACACAAACAAACATTTTCATAATGATCAAATAGTGTCTGTCCCTTTGATCCAGTAACCTCCAGAACTTCCGATGCCTTGCTGCAATGGTCGCCCGGATCCCGGAATAGTAAAGTTTCCTGCCAGGGGCAATGAGACAATTAATGACAATTGCAGAACGTCATCTGCTTCAGAAACGAAACCTACTTGTTTTTTTTCTTTGGAAAAAAATTGTTTTGATGGCTTCGTTGACTAAATAGGCCTTGTTTGTTTTCTTTGGGAACTAAAGCGCGAAAGGAAGTTGAATCGTATTTCTTTCGTTTTGGAGCTAAGTATTTCTAACAAAGCATGATATTTTTATCTTTGTATGTTGCCCATTATTATTTGCTGCAAGAAACTGTTGGTCGAATTTGATTCTGCTAAGCAGAAGATATTTTGATCACGGCAAACTTTCACGTTTAGCAAAGGCAATTGGCATTTTCGCTGGCATGGCAGGCAACAACCTACTTGCTTAAAAACTATAACCCTTGTATAAATGAGTAATTAACATAAAATTCATGTTTGATATCACAGCTCCTGGCTTGAACAGGCCCCTGTGTAGGCTTAATTCAGCAACCGACTTCTGTAAGGAAAACTGGTTCCCACTTTATAAAATCAGGTAGGCCTAATAGAGTGATATAAAATGAGGAGAATCGTCTGGAAATGCGACTAATGAATTATTGTAAATTTGGAAATGTGAGCCAGTGCAACAACTGTCGCAAACCGGTAGTTGCGGCACTAGTGTGGTTTTCCTGCTAACAGTAGTATAATCACTTGAACTTGAATACAAATGCTCATTATAAGATCATCATCTGTGGGAACGAGGTCAGAACAAGGTTACAAGAACAACCGCAACGTAATTAATGGAGTAATTTTAAGTAATTTGACCCCGTCATGGAGCTAGGCTCCAACTCCAAGTGTGAAAAACTGTGAATAATAATTTCGTTCGCTCGTTCTACTCCCAAACCCTATCCCAAGCACCATACTCTGTCTTCAGGCTACCCGTTTATTTATAAAGCTCAACTGCTAACGCTCCACCATGTGTACAAGTGAAACATACACTTTACGCAGAAGATACATGCTCCATACATTTTTAAAAACAGAAATGTTGCAATGTGAGGATTGTGCTGGGAGATGAAGGATCAAAGTTTTCCATGTGATTCAGAGAAAAATCAATTTTTTTTCAATAGGCTTCCTCGCAGTACCAATCAATCAATTCTTGGCTACCGAAATTTCAGGTGTTGACAATTCCTTTCTGTGAAAGCTTACTCACATTTTACTGGATATACAATATCGTAAATCAAAGTTCCAGCCCGTAAACTTTTCCGGAAATTGTCTTGTAAAAATACACAGGTTTTCGTTAAAAATGATGAACTTGGATTGGGGATGGGGTGGGAACAGAAAGGAGACGATATGGGTCTTCCCCATATCGGGGATATCGAAAGGTCCCCTATCGAATATTGGTGATGGTGGTTGACGGGGGGTTGGGGGGGGGGGGGTATAACACCTGTATCCTCCACCCCATCCTTTCGCCTAGCTCTCTTCCAAAACCTCAAGAAAACCCCAAATGAGCATCTCTTGTATTTGAAATTGGCCGGTCCAAAATTTAAGTAACAGAGGTCCAAACTCCAGTTGCCCCTTTCTTCAACCCGACTTCTGCCCGTGACCTGGCCTGGGATGACCCCAGGCCGCACCGCCTGGCGATGGCCAAATTAAGAATAAACACTCTCGGCCATGACCATCAATACGCACACATCACCTAAAACCTGGCCCGACCCTTTGAATAACGACATCATCGGCCAAATTTTGGATAAGAGGAGGCATTGTTTTGGCTGTATATTATTGACAGCTATTAACACATTTAGGAAGTGTTGATCGATGTTCTTCTTTTTTATTAGTATATTACCGTACTGAGTAACTAAAACCGTCGATATATGTTCAGGGCTTGGAGGCCACGTAGACAAAGCCTTGAGATGACCACTGAAAGTCAAATTCTTGACTTTAGGCCTATACTATATACATCAACAATGTCTGTCTTAAAAAATATAGGCCTATGTTATATCCAACAGCGCATTCATGGCTCACTACGATTTTGTAATATGCAAATAGGCTAAATTCGACATAATGTAAACGACATGCAAAAAAACGGGGGATGCGTAGGAGGGTTATGTTTACTGTACTAAAATATCTAAAATGTTTTTAAGGAGTTGGGGAGTAAAAATAAAGTATCCGTAGTGCACTTCAGTGAATAGTCCCACTTTGCAAACAAGTTGTTTTAACCATTTCCTGTGTGGTGCAATACAAACATGAAACAGTCACCCGGAAACATCCACTTTGCTAGTTCCGTGCGCGCGCGGCCGACGAAACGTCACGCGGGGGATATTCCAAGGAGGCGTGGCCTGGGGTAGCCCCATTCATTCAATTTTTTTTTTTACATTCGGTGACCAGGGAACTTTATTAGTCATGGGAATATTCTATCAAGGGAAATCTACTGGCCCTACCAAGGGAATAAAAGCCGAAGCACGATGAGTTTATTTGTCATTGTGGAATTTGGAGTAAGTGATTGAAGTTGTTCTTTAACCTAAGCGGTAGCAGAAAGTTGAGAGGACCAATTTTAAAAAGAGTCACACAGACTGCAAAGTTTATAAGCACTTGCCGAAGGAAAGAATTCTTGCCTTTTTTTCAAGTGTTTACCTAAGGGGTAACTGGTAGCAGGTTTTGTTGAGTGGAGTTAGGTATCAGTTTTCGTGGAGTGAAAATGAAGACTGTTTCGAGACAGACGTTGTCAGTGGTGGCTCTTCTGAGCTGTGTGGCTGTAGCAAGTGTCCTGGCCGATTGTGTCAGGGATTCAACCAGGAGCGTGGAGGAACGGACACGGAGGGTCCCGATCGTGGTCAAGGGGGTCGTGGTTGCCCGTGGCCAGACGGGCCAGCCTCGGACTTTCACCATCCGCGTTGGCAAGGTGCTGAAGGGGGGCAACGAGTCCGTGGCCAGCGCGCACATCGAGATCGTAGTGGAGGACGGTCAGTTCAACGAGACTTTCAGCCTCACCACCGCTGGATTGACCAGTAACAGGACAGGTACCGAAAGGACGATCCTTGCAGGCGATGTGGGGGGCACAGAGGGGACACCTACCGGTGGTGGGTTGGCCAGCACTGCGCCAGAAAGGAACATCGGTCCTTGTCTGGAGGGACTAAGCCTGCTGAGCCGGTCAATCTTCTTCTTGATGCCTATGGATGAGGAGGGCACGGTCTTTGAGGTTGTTGAGGATGCGGTGCCTCAGAGCAGAGAGAACCTCCGGAGGATCCGCCAGACGGTCAAGGAGGAGGAAAGCAATGGTGAGTGAGGTTCGATCTTAGAACTTTGAGTTTCAGTCGGAGATTGTAGTATCCTGACGTCATTTCGGGTTGAGAAATGAGAAACTAAGTCTAGGAGGCTTATAGAAATTGTCGTTAGTAAATTGAGATCTTTGTTGCTCCGAATTTCATGGCGTGACGATATTGCATTAAGGCGAGGTCTTTTTTTGAGACAATAAGCCATAGTTTATCCTCACATGAACAAGGTAGGGAAGTTACCCATTTATTTAACAGGATCATGAACTGCCATGTTTTTGTCGAAGCATTCCATAGCTCCAATTTACAACTGGGATATATGCATTTATATATCATAGTTTAGTAAGGTAGTCATTTTCACTTCTAAAAAATATATTTTTCTAAAATATAGTTTCCGATTGCAAAATCACAGATTCTTAGTCAACATGTTTTGCCCGACCTTCCCTGTTTGTTTGTGTTTTGGCCTTCGAGTTGAAAAGGTGGAATTTTTTTCGATTGCGAAATCAGTCAACGTGGCCCAGTAGACTTCCCCTTTTTTCCCCAAACAAAATTAAAAAAAATAATATTTTACCTGAAAGGCTGAATTGCACGCTTGCGTGAGCATAATGCACAGTGTGTACCTGTACCAACTTGTATGGAACTTGTATGGAATGACGTCAATGTATTTTCCCCAACTAACCAAACAACTCTGGAGTAACCAGGTGTGTTATAGAGGGCGCCCTTGACCGATATCAAGAGAGAATTTTGTTCTACTTAAAAAAAAAAAAAAAAAACCCGAAAAGTGTCAGCTTGTGTATTTATCAGTCAGCATTCGGATGTTTTGGCACAGCTCGTGTTAATCTCGTGTCCCGTTATCTTTATTTTGGCTGGACACGATTCGTGCCGTACCCCCATGCACGCGTTGGCACGTGGTGTTTTGACTAAACAAGCCCGCACCCCCAACAGATAAAACAGGGACAGTATTTGTGTGTGCCTTGTTACAGATCCTGAATATATACGATAAGATAATAATCTTACATTGGGCACTCGTAATACTAACATCTGGTTGCTTTGGCTGAATTGGCTCGTCCTCTGTGTTATGAAAATTAATATGTTGTTGTTGTCATCGACTTAGTAAATGTGAGTAAATTTAGCATTTCAAAATAAAGATAAACCAAACAATTAAATAAACAACTCGACTGCAGAGATAACATCGAGGGGATTGCGACTTCGCCGAAATCTAGGTCTGTAGATTGATGTGAATATCTAGTTTATTTTTGAACCACATTTTGATGCACCCTTCAGCTTGAACCAAAAATACGATAACCGATTTCCACAGTACGGTTTTCGCAACGCCGACATGGTGCATTTCGTAAGTTTTTAGGGTATAACACCTAATCGATCTTTAACAGCAACCAAAGTTTGTAAAAAAAAAATTGGAAAATGTTTGGATTTTTCTGGAGAAAGGGTGGTCGGCAAAACGTTTATGGTGCGCGAAACGTTTACCACGTAATTAAAGGTAGATTCCCATCCTTAAACGCAAACCATCATGTTATTCCTCTGCATTGTCTAACTGGATAAAATGTAACAGGGTAAAACTTAGTGTTCCCTTTGTCAGTGGTAATGTTCTGAATTACCTTTTATATATCGGCGTCAAAAGTTGCAAAAAAGGTTCCAGTGGCATTTTAGGCGTCTGAGCCGTCTCGTCAGTCTCGTCAGTCACGCATTTGTCATCTCAAGTTTACTTTATCCGTCTCACACGCGCCAGCTTAAAGTATTAAAAGTAATCCTAACGAAGATTATATCCCGTATGCATCACTGAGAAATATAACAGGTGATCAGATCCGCTTTTAGCAGTCTACCCGTCAAGTTTACCTTTGGGAAGGGGTATTAATTTTTACCGAAGCACATACAATGTTCGAAGTTAAGAATCATGCACAAATCTGACATAGTGGGAGTTTCGGACTTCCAACCTCAAGCACATCAATGTCCCTTCGTCCATGGACAATTTTCCCCAATGACTAACCACACAATAAACCTTACTGGCACTGAGGGCGCCATGCCGTCTGAAACGATAAAGAAATGAAAGAATTGTGAAAAAAGTACATAATGTGGATCCACGAAAAACATAGCTGTGTTTTGTTGCTGTCAGCAGGCACGATTGCATCACGTAAGGCAATACACGTTGGCAGGTGATTTAACCTGCCCTTAGAACCTATAGTGTACTTGGCATTGGGTTGGGGTCGGTGCATGTTGACAAATGTATTGGAAATAAGGCAGGCACAGTAAAGTTGGTCCCAGGCTAGTCTTAATCAAAGCGGACAAGATTTCTAATTCCTTCAGAATGGCTTTAATTGAACTGGAAGTCATTTCATACATCTGATCTACACAATGGGCTTTATTCATGAGTCGGCCATATTAAATTGAAAGCGAGGTAAAATCTTCATTTTTGGAACTTGAATAATTTAACATTTGTGATTAAACATACCCTCATGTTTTAAGTCACATTAAAAAAAAATTGAAAGTGAGGCAAGAATGCGTAAATAGTCTGGCACCATCCCATTCAACAGTTCACAATTAATTAAATACATTCAGGGAACACCACCAAAAATGGCTTCCACGTGAATATGGTCCATATGGGCCGGATTTAGCCTATTACGGGGCAATCCTGTACGACAGCACTGCCCAGGTCACAGTCAGTCACTCACTCAGTCAGTCATTGAGATATCGGTACAAAATGGACACCAGGCTGGCCATCTAATTAGACCAGCGAACTGGTGAAGGGTCATGATGCCCCTAACCTCAGATCCCCCCGTAACATTGCATCATGACCTAGCACACTCCATAATCTAAATAAATAGAAATTTCTAGAAAAATCCAGGATGATGAAATGATTGCGCCATCCACACGAGAAAGAAAGTGCCATGTCACACGACATACCATATTATCAACGTATCTTTCTATAAACACGACAGCTTGCATATGACTTGCAGTGCCCAGACATTATCTGAAATGCAAAAGATTTAACACGTAGGGTTAAGAACTTCTGTAAACATGCTTGCATAGGCACAATGGTTTATAGCATATAAACATGCCTCTTAAGAGCACAGGGGAATTTTTATATGCCCGAAGGAATAGCTACTGTGCTTATGCAATACGTGTAAATGAATTATTTTTCGAGGTGGGGCGGCGCGTGTGAATTTTACCTTCTGTATTAACTTTGAAGGGGTGGGCTCTATCTTTCAATTTTGATACAACCTCGAGATCAAATTCATTACCGCCCATGGCTAAAATTAGAACAGAGGTGACACTTTGAAAACAATAACAAATTTATATTGGCTAAGTTTAAAGTCTAAAACCGCTATAATTATCACAACATCTGCGGTTGAGTTGACACGATTAGAAACTGTTACAATAACATTATTGACTATACCTCGCCCAATTAAAGGCCAACTGTACATGTAGTTATTATGGATCTCGTCTGTTTTGTGATGTCATCATTCGGAATAATTATAGGCATGACGTCATTCTCACGTGAGGTATCGGACCGAGGTCGCACCGAGGAGACGGGCTGGTTGTTTACATTGGCAACCGCAACCGCATCGTTCGTGGGAACGACACGATACCTTAGTCTCGTTTCAAGACTCAAACAGTTGGCACGAACAGGGAATAATTTACTGTGTGGGGAATTAGTTTAGCCCAAGTTGTCTGTAGAGTTGCATATTTTCATTATGTCCACGACGCCAACTAAAAGGAGTGCCACATTTTTTTGTGCCCATTCTGCGGAACTTCACAAAGATGTGTCAAACTTTTTAATGCTTGATCGTAGAATTTAGACAGAAGCTTTTAGATGGCTCCCAAACTTTCTGATGAAAGTTCTTTGATCCATTGTCAATACTTAGCCTAGCCTCAGGATTATATCACCTCGGAATAAATGACATATTTTAGGGGAATCCTCTTTCGATTCAAAGTGTTTGAGAATCCGTAATAAAAAAAATCACCGTAAATGGGTGAGGGTTTGAGGGGGCGGCACCGCACAATAACTACCGGTAGTTACAGGCTGCAGATCCGGTGCTGTCAGCCTGAGTGCACGGTCACAGGCCACCTTTGTCGTCTATTTGCGGAATACTAACATTCCTGACATGCCAAACCATTGTTCCCTCGCTTTGAAAAAAGAAACCCCTACTTCCGATTTCTTTATTTACTTTTTATCGCCAGCAGGTGGCACGTGTATTACAATGACCGATGCAGTGATTTTGATACAGTGCACTTTTTGATTGATTTCTTTGTGAAATCGTACTAGCAGGATGAAGACGATTAAAGTATGATGGGCAATTCAGTATGGGAGCTCAAACAAAAGAGGTGTATCATCGTGAAAATTTCAATTATAATGACATTCGTCACTGATATGCAATTTTTATTTTCATTTTAAAAATAATGATTTTGAGTTATTTGTTTAAAAAATGTCCATGTTGTTGGAGTAATTTATGATTCACATTCGAGTACAAAGTTCGTGACTTTTCTTGAGAGAGAGTCTAAACTAGGGCAAACCACGAAATTCACTAAAGTTATAGAACATTCCAGAGTTATACGTAATGTTTGCGAAGACAAATACAAGCCCAATAGTAAACATTTAAAACCCCATTATTTCTACAAAACCACTGACACATGGTGCCACGGTGTATAATCGTAACACCCCTCTAACCTCGATACTATATTTACTATTACTGCGCAGCACGCGCGTGGAGTATAGTAAACTATGCACTGTTTCTATACACTCTTCATTGTCAAATATTGTAAGTATTGATATAGTGTTGGAATTTGACCCGAGGTTATTTACAACCGAAGAGCAGTGTGTCCGGTATCGAAATACACGTTCATTAACAGAGATACTACACTAATAGGGCCCAATCTTGTTCACACAAACCTGGAAACGACAATGACGACTGAAGACTTGTTGTAAAATACGCCATTTTCACGACCAGGATTTCCAGAGAAAATAGGGTCAACCGGGTCCTTGCACTTCAACTTGGGATTCCCACACGTAGACACGACACACTAGACGCAGTACCGAGTTCCCCTGCGCCAAGTTCCGGTGAAGAACTACAGACTTGTACTTCCGGTGGTCTCATGATCACCATTTACTTACCCGCTCTTTTGTTGGTGTACAAATGTGGGCGTGATCTTCCGACGGGATCGACGGTTCCAAACGGCTGGGCTTGGAGTCTACGTCTGGCTATATATAGAAGCTGCTCGTGCTGCGGTTGCGACACAAGCACACGTGCGACACGCTCAGACAAGACGGACGGATTTTTCTCCCTCTGCTCTATAAAGCACGAAGTGAAATCGAGAAAACTTTCACTTTTCGCAGTCTGTCTCCCTTACTCCTTGATGCTGTCTTTGCTTCTCAACTGAAGTCGTGTTTCGTGAGGACATCTCTGTGCTTTCACCTGCATCTTTAAGATCGGTATTCTACAGTGACACGCCTCCCTGTTGCTCACCGCAGACCGCATCACTCATATTGTGGACACAATATCTTCGTTCCGAATCGTTTTCCTTCTTTTTTTTTGCGGGAACAAGGATACTTGCATCATGCCTAGACCGAGGTGGCTGTTCATAGACAACATCGAGGGCTTGCTGGATTGGGGCAGTAAGAATATTTCTCTTTTATAATAATTTTGCGTAATTTTAGTACGTAGATGATTTCGTTGCCATGCAACGAGAGAGTAAAAAATAATTTAAAGGAAGTGTATGTTTTAGGATTTCAGAACGTAGGTTCGAATACCGCCTTAGGCAACTTCTTTCCCGAGCCAACAAGGAATGATTGTTACAACAGACCATTTAAAATTCAATTTGGATTTAAAAAAAATAGTCCTATAGCTCGCAACAAAGAAACTTTCATGGTTGTAAAATACATGAAATTTCGTACAAGTTGAGTTTGTTTAATATCGAGTCTAGTTGCATTATAATTTTCCACTCTCTTATCATAGTTCTGAGATTAACGTGCCGCAAAATAGCATGCATCATTTTTCAGGAAACAAAACCAAACCCGCCACCCCGGTTGACAGACGTGAGTGTATATAATTATATTCTCCGATCGTTCATGCACCTCGTACAATACCCTCGAATCTAAATCAACATCGTATAGCAACGGATTATTGATTCGCTATAACGTGTACGGGTCTACTACGCCCGCCACACCTTTATGTACATGACTGTCAGCATGTACTGTACGATCGTTAGTCATTTTAACCGTGAAACATTACAGTATCCCTTTTATTGACTTTAATTATAAGCATATACATGTAAGTTTTTCCACGGTTAAATTCAGTCCTCACTGCACTTTTCAATAACTATAATTTCCACTTCATGTCAATTACATATTAACCTTGAACGAGTGCATGCCAACAGATATGAATTATGATAATGTGTACTTGCGTGGGTGTGGCTTGGTGGTCGGGGAGGGGGTCAGTGAAATTCATTGCCTCATGCAGCGTAAGAATTTCACTGTTCGAGTTTTGACTCCATGGTTGATTCAGAACAACACGATAAAACTGTAGCCCAGTTTTGATGTGCACTGTGGCATCAAAGTCCATATGCTACGCGTAGGCCTACATAAATCGTACTTGCAAATATATTTTGTTTACTACACATTCTCATAATAGCCATGCATAGAGTGCTAAACAATATATACTGATAACCACAGTTTAACTTTGGTCGTTTGTATTTCCCCTGAAATCTTGCTGACCAGCATGCATCCCTAGTATTTATACGTCTTTCTATCCCGTATACTAACCAGCATTCCAATATTACTCAAAAATGGCTACCTAACTCATCCGCATTTGTTTGCAGAATTTCTTTCACCTGTGCCCCATGCATGCTTGCTTTGTAACACTTTCAATGCGCCCTATTCAAGTTCAGTGTAGCCCATTTGAAAACACAAACTTTGTAGCGCACTGACCCGTAAATGTAGAAGTTATAGCGTTGTATCTCTGACGTTAAAAGCAAAAGTGAAAGATACTGTCACGATTATGTCCCTATACATTGTAGAACATTTAGTTTCGAGTGATTTTCCGACCACGAAATTGGTAATAGTTCTAAAATTAAGTTATTGAATATAGCTGCATAGAATCTAGACATTATCGAAATTCATTTTCTGATCTGACTTGACATTTTTCACTTGCATTTTCGTTATTATTGCTTAAAAATCGTAAGGTGTAACAGTGGGAACACAATACACAAAGTGTAGACAAAAGGGCTACGATAGAATTTTCAATTTGATTTTGTCCAAACGAAACTGACTCAGCAGCAATTATCTTACGGTACTAGGGGCCTATTGAATAATATAGGCTACATGCACGACCATGACCATAACAATTTAATTACACTTGTGGCATATGCTATTATGCATATTATACGCCGTTTCGTTTCGAGTGCCACATAACGCAGCGTGTGTTGGTGCAGATACCAACTTAACTTTATACTTCAGTCATACCAGCGTTATTTCATTAGTACATTTTGTTCACACCCTCGATACTACATTTTTTTAAGAGCATTCTTCCTGTTTCGAAGGGCATCAAACATAATACCTGTAGTTATCCCATGCCAGTTTTATCTGAGCTAGTCAGGCAGACCCGAGACAGGGGTCAATGGAATGAGGTTGCATTTCTCATTCAACACTTTCCACCTTGTTTTGTTTGTCACACGGGGGTAACTTCACTTAAAAGGCAAAAACAAACATCGTCAATAAAAACACGTAGCCTTTACTCGTATGCTATTTTAAGGGTAAAATGGACTTTTTATCACAAAACTCGCCACGTTTGCGTTAATAAATTCGTCTCAAAAAGTTCGACTAAACTTGGGACGTGCAGACACGAAGGTGTCCGTGAACTTGATTTTGGTGACCTGTAGGAAGGCCTTGTATATATTACCTCATCGCAGCAGGGGAAGTAAAGCAATATCCACGTCCGACATGCTGAGGAAATTGCTTCAAATACAAGCAAAAAGATCCTCCAGTTAGACAGAATTGTCACATTCACGAAAAAAACCGCAAGGATAACGAGTGTTTCAGGCCACAAGTTTGCAAATTTGCGCAGGGTAAACGCTGGTGGTAGTGACCCAGTGTTTAGTCTTCCGTTCGAGCGGTTATACTTCTGCCTCCACCAGCTTCCTCAAACTTCCTGGTACTATAGTACATTTCCTGCTCCGGCAGAGTGACTTTCCTACGTCATTAAAGATTTTCTGGAACTTGAATCTTATATCTATTTAATACTTCTTTTGAAAGTCAGTTAAGTTTGTCATCCTACAATTCGATTCTATAATTAGATTTCAGGTAGTTTAAAAAGCAGCCTGTGCGAATCTCGGAAACAAATGAAGAAATAATATCTACCCGCCGCTCCTAATGGCGTATGTTCTGTTAAATTCAACCAAAACTATTTGTCAAACAAGACCAAATTAAATTTGGTCTTGAAAGGTCACACGTTTTTGTTAACAGAAATTATAACCCAAACAATTGGGTGAAGAATAACCGAATTTTAGGTAGTTGCAGTTTTCACCCTTTCTTGGGTAAAACCAGGCAAGTTTTCAGTGAATCCTTGTTAGTATTACGAGAGAGTATGAATCAATGAATATGTATTTAATAAAGATTTTTTTCTACGAAAGGTAGGTTCGACAAACTTTCGTTCAGAGTCCACAAGTTAGTGTCTGGCAATTTTTTTAACAGCTTTGAATTTCTTTTTGATCGTTCTTTCAGCTAACGAAACTCTACCAGACGATGACCACATGGGTTCGTGCACAGATGCGGTCTACGACAACCACTACTGCCTAAATGGCGGCACTTGCAGAGTCTGGATCAATCTGGACAAGTACTTCTGCATGTAAGTAATGCGCAGTCACATTAGGATATGGGCGTAGCCAGGAATTTTTTTCGGGGTTGGTGGTCATCAGACGACCCAGCCTTACTGGAACAAAAACGAGGCTACATTTGCAGATTGCTTTAGGCTGTTAGTATGAGGGCAAGTCCAAGAATTCGCGCACGCTATGTCCCATTATAACGACAGTTTGAACTTCTGTGCGGGATATCTTACCAAGGAGTTTGCACAGTATTTTACAGATACAGAAACGATTTTCATGAAATTCGAGGTTTTTTAAATGCTACTGTTGGGCATCTGCAAGCGAATACCCATAAGTTTGTGCGATGATTATGCAATAAAAATTTTTAAAAATGGCGTTCCGGATGGGGACAAAAAGGGGGCCTGTTTTATTGAACTTACAAATGAACTCGTTCGTGGGGCCGAGTTTGCCAGTTGCAACTAAGCCTCTCTTTCAAAATGTGCAAAAAGGGTCCATTATAATGTGACAGTTCAATGACATATCTGATGGCCGACCAACTCTTCATTAGGTTGAAATAAAAAAATCCATTCTAGTGGCCGATTTCTAAAATTAAGTAGCTTTACAATGCGATGTTCGGAAAGCTTAGGGCCTATATGGCTTTATTATTTATTTATATAAAAATTGTTCAGCAATATTAAACGGTATTTCTCCCCCTTTTAAATATCTGTTTCAGATGTCATTATCCTTACTACGGTGAAAGATGCGACGCGATTGATCCGGGTGCCTCGACGGACGGTGAGTAGCCATAGTCAGGCTTTTGACATGTTTAAGATCGAAGGCTATTACTCATTGAGTAAGACTAAGTTATCGTAACGAATATAAATAGTCCCAGGTAATCCGGAGATAATGTCGGCCTTAATGCAGACTCTGGGATGCTGTCAACCGGCACTGGATGTGTATAATAAGTTTTAAAAATGTGAACAATCCAACCCAAAGACACACTAATAACAAAAATATGTCGTTCTAAAGTGATTTTTCAGATGCAAAAAGTTCTCGATCATTTTTTTCTTAATGAATACAAATGTGTTTGAAACTGAAGTAAATTCCAGCAAGAGTGCCAATCAAGTCATTTCATCAAGATTAATCACTACAACCATTCTGGTTTGTGTCCAGATGATATTTTAAACGTAACATATCTTTTTTCTGTATTATAATTGTTTTATTCATACATGTATTTTCTATTGTTTTTTTGTTTATTGTATTTCAGGTAAACCAACGGTCATCAATGACACGACTCTAGCCATCGCCGTTATTATGTCCACCTTGCTCGTTCTTACCGTTATCTGTGTCATAGCCTTCATCAAATACAAGTAAGTTCGCCATTACGTTTATAATTGTTTGAAAATATAGCCAGATGTCAAATAGTGTGCAGGGCTCTCTATATAATAGGCCCCACATCTATCTTTATCGAAGGCAAGTAAATTCACCTTTTGTTAGAAAGCATGGCCAGAGAATAGGCAGAAAGTGGTAGTCTTTTCTTGTGTTCTCTGATCGTGTCCCCAATCCCAAGTAAATGTATAGTAATGGTGGATGCTGAGCGCACCTTCACCGTAATGCAGTCTTGTTCCCAATCTCATATCAATGCCTCGTAATGGTGGAGGCTGGTCGCACCCTCACTGAGTACCTGGCATGGATTTCTTTGAAGTTCGTGTGCGATGTTTTCAATGGCATTGGATAATTTTTTTATTAGACCGCCAATGCTTAAATTATTGTGACAATAAATTATACGATAATTGTGACTTGCATATCATCTTATTTTTTTCATAAGAAATCATATTAGGCCTAAAGCAGAAATATTGAATAAAGATATCACTCATTGTGAAAGTTGTTTTAAATCGTCCGATCCCAATTAATAAGCGTAACAGAGTGATCACTGGAATTGAATACCTCTTATTTTTTCCTGTACATGGCGTTGAATTTCATGATCGGCACACATCTTGTATTAAGATAACATGCAATGAACATTTGTCGTGACTTTGTTTTACCAGGAACAACCTGTGGCGTGAACGAAAGCGAGAGGTCGAGAAGACCGTTAAATATCTGCAGGAGCGCTACCCCTCCACACCGTCACGGAGAAACAGTCCGGTGCAAGGAATCCCAAGATTAAACAACAACTCGGTAAATACTTCAGATTCTTTAAACTCTCCAGCATTTTAACAGTGGGTGGTGATTTCCACCTCACGGGGGAACTAGATTCAATTACGGTTTCACGAATAGTTTTGACCTCAACCTTGTCATGCAATCCTGTGTTTTAGTACGTGTTAACGCCACTTGTTTCCACGTGAACAAAACATAGATAGCTCATCATTGGCCATTGCGTGCTGTACAAATTACAGACTTTCCCTTGGTACAAAAAATGCATAGTGCAATACTAAGAATGCTCACCTTGGCTTTGTGCCAGTAGTGTACGTAATACGTTCTTAAAGGGAAGGAACAAAATTGCAAAGATTCAGATCGCATTGGATCGTATAATGAGCCTCCATATACAAGTTCAAATATCGATTAAGTTGACAGTATTTCAAAATTGTGAAATTAATAGTTGCCGGCATACCTTTGATGCTCAGATAGTGAGATTAGAAAGCAGTCTGCTGCTTTCTAAAAAATTGACGTTCCACAACCAAAGTTTCAAGTGTTTCATTTTGGTTCGGACTTTAGGTTTTTTTGTTAGAGGCTTCCGAATTGATGTGAAAGTCTTGAAGATAAAGCCGAAACCAACATGATCCCAAACTTTCAAAAAGCCCTTGACTCATTGAACTGAGACTCCTGTCCACATGAGACTGGTGCCTTGTTCAGTATACCACGTACCAAAAGTAAGGTTATTTAGCGCATGGGGGACCAGACAAAAATGGCCGTTTCCTTGAGTAGTGGACAATGATGCAAACGGCTGATAATTGATTGGTTCCTGTACACACCACCTCAGACCTGTCAACATCTTGCGCCGTTACCATCTCTTCCTCCTAAGATAGTTAGTCATTTTTTTTTCCTTATTGGAAACACCCGACCAATGCATTTCCATATAACTCTCCGAGTACTACCAGCCCCTGTGATATTGCAAGCATGCCGTCTTGAATCATCTTATTATTCATGGTTATGATTGAGATTTCCCGTAACCAATTGACCGAGGAACAATTCAGTAACAACCACTAAATTGACGGAGGCAATTTACACTGGGCGAGAACTTCCTCGAGTTGTAGCCCAGTTAATTCTTAAGGCGCCAAAAGTTCCTTCAATAGCAGATACTATGCTTTTTAGTGTTGTAGTAAAGCATCATAACATGCCTCGTGCAAGGGCGGATCCAGAACACAATTTTAGGGGGGGCCAAAAAATTTTTTGGTCCCCCAAAAAGTGGGTCAAAAAAATTACGGCGTGGGGTTCGGGGCCCGCTTAAGGGCCCCGAAATTTTTTTGGATTCTAGATGCTCTGTGGTGCGATCTGAGGCAATTTCTGACCACTTTAACAAATGTTTTTTTGAGGAAAAGATGGTGGTGTACTCATTGCCTGCCTTTATTGCGATGTCACATAAAAAAAAAAAAAAAATTGTTTCGTTTTTTGGGGGGGGGGCATGGCCCCCTTTGCCCCCCCCCTGGATCCGCCCTTGGCCTCGTGTTACTTTGAGAACTAACGTGCACGGCAGTGAAATTTTGTCTCGTCCCTATATTCTTTACGTCAGAGGGTTAAATTTAAAAAGGCAATAATTTGGCATTATCAGTGGACACTTTCCCACTAAACTCACTGTCGATATTTTTCTATTGTGCAGTCAAACGCTGTCGATGTGGGCGCTTCGCATGTGATCGTCTTCCAAGACGCCGACGGCAAGCACTCAAGACAAGGATCGCTCAGTTCCAACCAGTACCGGCTCCTGACGGAGGCCACGCCCAACCAGCCCTTGCCTCACAGAGGGAGCGCAGATTTCACGGACCGGATGTCGCATTGGGAATATTAAGCACTTTGTTTTATTTTTCATTTCGTTCTGTACATAGGTTTTTAAGTTATTTCTGTTGGGCACAGATGAATAGCTGTCGGTCGCGGATAGGCAACTTTGTGGACGTTGAGGGCGCTGTAATTTGTAACGACGCCATTTTGGGCGCATCAACGGAAGTGAATGCGTTATAGTCTTTCTCTATACAACAAATTCAATATTGATTGAATTCTGATTAAACTATTCAGTTTGGTGTCGATTCCCAATTTAAACAATTGTCACCGTTAGGCAGCGCTCCTTTCTGTCCAGAAAAATGGATTTGTATGGATTTTCGGTGGTTTGAAATGATCCAGTTTAGCCAATAAAGCTTCTGCCATGCTTATACGTAAGATTTGTACTATAAATAAGTACTAGAGGTGAAAAAAAAAAGAACGTGTTGATTTCTTTTTGTAGCATCCATTACAATAGTTGTTGGAAAATTATGTCTATAATTAATTTGTATCTAAAGAACCGTCGGACAAGGTTTTGCGAGTTTCGATTTGACTGACTGCCGAACCTTTTTCATGAACGAAACGTTGCTAAGAATTGCAACAGTCGATAATTGTGCTGGTAGTGTATAGAGAAGTAAACATTAAATGTTAGTGCAAACGCTTTATCAGATTACAGTTTATGATAGGACGGTTTCTGATTTTATTTCTCAACATGTTATCATTTCGGTGATGAAGTTTATCAGATTGTATCATCTGCTGGTATGGTTATTAGGGTCAAATTTGCTAAAAATGTCGTGTAAGGGCTCCAATGGTATAGCCGCTTGAAGGGACTTGACAACAGTTAGGTCCGGTTTCAAGTTTTATATTCCACTAATGATTTACGGGGCTATAATAAGGATTTAGATAACGCGGAACCCTTTTAAGGTTAAAGGACGTTAGACGTATTTCGAGCATGCAGTTATGTCACCGGTACTTCAATTCTTCGACATGACGACTCCATTCTGAAGACACATGCATAACAGGGACCAATCCATGATCTTGGAAAAAAAGGTATGAAAAGACGAACCTGCTGATTGGTGGAACAGTTCGTGAACCCTTACGCCTTAGCATTCCTGTTGGCCAATCACATTGAGTTGACCTACTGTGTTCGTTCTTATTGGTGCCAAAAGCTTAATGTATTCACCGTCATTCGATTAATACACTGATGTATGCAGTATTCATTTTATGCAAGTTGGATAAAACTAGACAACTTGCATTAAATTAGGACTTGGGTTTTGAGTCGAGTGGGTTCCCCTCGAATAAACTGAGTTGGTTTTCCTCCCAACATAAGTGGAATTTTTCCCCATTTCGAAGATTTTTTTTTTTACAGCTTCCAAGTTTTGTCTTGCTAAATATACCGCTGCTTATTAATTAACTTTTGTACGATATTATAATAATATAGTGTTTGCGTAAATCTATAGAGAAAAAAACACGAAAAAAGGGCAGTTAATGTTTTTCAACAAATGTTTGAAAATAGGTCAGTGTCATTTTAGCATATGCTGTACAAGTAAAAAAAAACACCTTTATTTATTGTAAAAAGTATTGTACATTGTATCGCCTAAGGCAAACCGAAACACATTATAAATGTGCATTGAAATTTCAGATTAAACTTTAAACATGTAGGCAAGTAATTACGTTAATTGTTTTTGAGATGTGTTACTCAACTGTTATCTTGATATCAGAGGAATAACATGTATTTTATGCATGCTAGTATCAATATCACATTTCATACATTTCTTTGATATAGCTTGCCATATTGACGTGTTCTTGAAGGACATTCTATTGGATTTTTTGGATAAAAGGGGGCTGTGTGTGATTTGTTTGAGGTTCGAATAAAGTATAGGCCTGTGGACAGTCGTTCAAGGAAAACTGAAATATAGGCTGTGTTTGGAATGAATTTTATACTAGTTTAAAGGGAATATACATCATTTGCTTTTGCTGTAATTTTCAGAAATGGATGGAATTGGGGGGTTGGAAATATATAGCAAATATAGTTACACTGACTTTTTTGAGGTTTTGGGTTCGAAAATGCTATAAAAACCAAGAAAAACAATCATTTTCCTGTAGTCTGGTTCCCTGACTCCATTTAAGAAGAAACAGAGCAGTTTACATATATTGGGGAATTGTAAGGTCAGGGAACCAGTCTAGCTGGCTTGTACCCGTTCATATAGGTGTGTAATCGATTGCAAACAAGTGCGATGGTCAACTGGGGCCAGTATTTGAAAAAAGCCAGTTTTTTCCAACGCTGATCGGCCGATCAGCGTTGGAAATTGATACAAACATACCACTTTTCTTGAAAATGACAGTATACCAGGTGCCATGATTTTACAGGATGCTTTACACTGTCATTCACTAACAGTCCAGCAAGGTATTTCAAAATGATTTGGTAGTTTTATTTTTTGATGTTTGCAAATGTTGTATTTTCCCTTTAGTAGGCCTACACCATCTCAGTGCCACGACAAAGGCGACCCTTAATTTCATCGCACATTGTTTTTAACTCTCGAGGATAAACTAAAGGGTAATGTATACAGTGGGCAAAATCTTCAGTTGGCAAGTTCTTGTATCGGGTCACCGGCTGCCCACTCACACGAGGGGGGGGGGGGGGGGGGGGGGGGGGTTACGCCCTAGCACCAAACCGTCTCCCTCCCCCAAATGGATATTTTTTTCAAATAAAGCTTTAAGGACGACTGATGAGTGAAGCTGTGCTGTAGAAGACGGATCCTCTTTTGCGGATTCTAGAAATCAATTAAAAGAAAGACAAGCCAACAGGGAACAAGGGCGCCTCTAGCGTCAAATGGGTTCCCAACCAGTAGCGCACCGTACGTCTGGCCGTGCCGAGCTTGAAATTCCCGGTGTCATATGAAAATCAGACTCGTATGAAAATCAGACTCTTTTTCCCTTTTATTGGTTAAACCCTCTCGAGTGACCGGTCCCTCTCCTAATAATTTATGCATGAGCATGCACAATACCACCAATGAGTCCGTATTTCAAAAAACCTAAATTCATACTACACCGGCAAAAACTATAGCTGTGTGACAAGCTGTTAGTATAGTTGTCAATTGCGCATAGCGCCCTCACTGGTTTTCTTGCAAAAATTAGCAGAATACATTAGAACTCCTTTTTTTTCCTAACCCGTACATAAAATGCCGGTCGGTCATTGCTTTAAAAATATAACACACATTTGTATAGAATTTCAAAGACTTTAATTTCTGTATGTTTATTTATTCATTTCACCCAATGAGGTGCAAATTAGAAAGGTAAAATTTGTATATATTTCCGAAATAAGAAGCAATTAAACAGCATATGACAACTTAATCAAGACAAACGAATACAGAAGTAAATTTCATGATTTCAATATATATAAGATGATTGGAACATAATTATGAAAAAAAACCCCAGATATGATAATTCAATACGCCATTTATGTACATGCACATGTTTAGTGAAAAAAAAACCTATTATTCATTCATTTAACAAAATATATATTGGTGCAACACTTATCTCCCTACAGACAATGACATTAAATTTGTATTTTTTGATTTGTTTCGGGAAATTTCTTCTTTTTTTAATCCTAATCCGATCTCTTTCAAATTTGTCAATCTGTGATATGGTGATGTAAAAAACATGTGACAAAACTATTATGTCAACAATCCCATGAAGAATCAAAGGTCCAATATTATTCAGTGTGTATAACTTAATTTCACAATGCGCACAATCCAGGTCAAAGGTCGATGCATATTACCAGGCTATATGACATACAAGATAATGTATTTGCCCGCTATCAGTTATAAATAGAGCGCAACTTACTGATTTTGTTAACTGAAACAAATTCTTGTTTTTAATCTAAAACTTACAGTATAAAAATATTTGATAAGAATTTAAAATACATGTATATGAATGTTAAATCTGTAATGATGAAATCAAAACAAAAATGTCATCGATTTCAAATGATTTTTAGTGCATTTTCCTGTCTCTGAGACAGGACAAAAATCCAGCTACTTTGAAATGTTACACATTTTTAAAAACAAGATGTGCAAAAATGATGGTTTTTAATTTTAACAATTTCAGGAATATGAAAAAAAAAATCCAACTTTTTTTCCTTAAAAATTTACAGAATTAACACTGCATGAGTTGCATTATAAAGAGCTCTTATTACAAAAGAAACTTCTTGTTTAATTAAAAAATACAAATAATTCTTTATGTGACCAAGTCTTATACGCAATATAATAGTGCAATGGGCACTTGGGCTAGTGACATATTTTCCCACTGGAAAACTTTGGCAACTTTTGGGTTTGAGAATATCTGTTCCTCCCATACGTTCAGATATTCTCCCAGAGCTACGCTAGTAACAGGCTGTAAAGCATGATTAGAACAATACAAATTGTTGTTTTTAACATCTGTGTATTATCAATAAAATTCTTTATTTCACTCATTCGATCCGATAGAAAAAGATTGCGTACATATACTATTTGTGGATTAACAATTTTTTTTGGTTCTCTCTATAAAATCAGTCCGTAGTACTATTAATAACTTTTGATGCGAGTTAGTTTTTATAACGTGGGCAAAATACCTAGTCCAATTTAGACTCTCCTGTAACAGCTTCAGTTATTATGACAAATAATTTCTGTACATTGCATTAAGTTTTGATTGTCGATGATAGCTTGAAAGGGACATGATTAGTACATGTCAGAAATTAGTACATTCCTTCACCAATCCATGTTCTTCACATCTGTGGGGTGGTTTCTGCTGGTCTGGTACCCGGCATTCCACAAATTAGGAACCAGGGTTGTAGGGTGGTGGCTTGTCATTGGGGTCGTACTGTAACCAATAAAGAAAAGACAACACAAGAAACATAATGTTCACAATGTTCACAAGGGGTTACAAAACTGGCCAAAAAAAAAAGCAACAGAAATTCAAGTCAAGCTCGGCAGTTCTCATTACATCCAAAATTGTCAACAGGTGCTGAACACTATACAAAAAAGGATTTACAAAGCCAAAAAATACTTTGGAATCACTAAAATGAAAGTAAAGTCTGTAATCACAGGCATGCAACTGGTAAGTCACAAAAAAGAGGAAATTCAAATCTTTCCAAGACTTTGTACAGTGTTTTTCTATTTTCAACGACACACATGGGAGGTCAAAAAAGAGGAAATCAGCTGATCCGAGGAAAAGCTGCATGCCTGTAATCACCATACATACAGCATGGGACACATGTACAGGAATATTGCACAATGAGGTTAAAACAGGATGCGACCCTCTACGACAGTGTAGGGTGTGTACATGCATGAATGCACACACAGACCACACTTTAAATAGTAACTTTTCATTTCACAACCACAACAGTGCATAAACAAGCTCATATATCACACAAACTGAAAGTGAAATTTCCTGAAAATGACGGAAGGAATTCACATGCGATTTACAGGACACGTGAAGTGAAAGAAAAAGTATGCCATCGAGCGACAATAATGTGCTGGAAAAATAATACTGACTTGCACATCAGTGTAAATATTACGTATTTCTTTTAACATGGGTTAAGGAGGATGTATGCATGCATGCATGTACATTTATATGATTCGACTGGAAAGGGATATTTCTCGAACTCCCAGAAGGAAAGAACATGCGATTCAAAGGAAACGATGCCATCGGAGTGACACTAATTCGCTAATATTGACTTCCACATCTGCGCAAATACATACGTGTGTTTCTTTTAACATGGGTTTGGCAGGATGCATGCATGAAATGAAGTACATGTATATGATGTGACTGAAAATAAATTGAACTTAGGTTTTCAACATAATCCAATAATTTGTGATGTTCTCTTAACCCTGCTCAATCCAAAACAATGCTGTACAGGTACATGTACATTGTATGTCTGCAGCAAAAATAAGATTCAAACAGTAAGAACTAGAAATTTGTACAATAGTAAAAAATATAAATTCAATGTACTATGCGTGATAAATATTATACAAATTTGTACAATTTAATATAATTTAAATACAATTGGAATATCTAACTGCAATTACCGATTCAAAATTTACTACTGAATAAAGTTAATTTTAATTGCACCACATGATAAACACTGATACAAAAATACACGTAGATTTTTTTCTTTCAATATATCAATATAACTTAGGTGGAATGCAAATTTTTGTTGCACAAATCTGTAAACCATACATGTATGTGATAAAGAGAGAATAAAGTTATGCGAGGAATGGACAATAAAAGAAACTAAATGAAACATGTGGAATGTATTTTAGCATGGAAAAATGGTAATTTTCCAAAAAGTATGGATGACCCATTGTACGTTTCCACATTGTAAAATATAATATAAGTCAACAGATGTACATGTACATCTATTCAACATCTGTGTGAATAAGTGTAAAATTTTCCCTAAAAGAGCTTAAATACTACATAATGAGTATCAATTTCTATACTGAGTACAAAATACCCTACCACAAGTCTGGACTTCACACACAATGCAACGTTACAAAAATATGCAGAATTTGGTAAGAAGAATAAAGAACTGTTAGTAATTTAAATGTGCATGACAAATATACATGTAGGTGCATTTTACGTCCATTCCTAGGATCTGACTGTTCTCCCCAGAGTGGGGAGTAAGGAGTGGGGGTGTTTAAAATAATTTGCCCCTCCCTCTTCTGGAATAGATTGTCTGCACTGAAGCCATCTGTGAGATGCGTGCTTTTGTTTTAATTCAGGCATGCAACTGGGAAATCACAAAAAAAGAGGAAATTCAAATTTTCCCCAGACTTTGTACAGTGTTTTTCTATTTTCAATGGCACACATGGGAAGTAAAAAAAGAGGAAATCAGCTGATCCGAGGAAAAGTTGCATGCCTGTTTTATGGGGCCATGCACAAGTAGACCTCTAGAGCGTATTCAAAACCCTGATCACGTGTTGAATGAACACGAGAACAGGGTTACGAATGACGGGAATCAACATGCCAATGGTGTTTGCGAACACAATTCTCACTCCCCACTTATTGGAGAGTAGATGAAGAACGTCCAGAACAAAGATGGGGGATTTAGGCCCCTACAGGAACTTGCGTTAATATTTGTGTATAAAATTGAAAGCATACATTCAGTGCTGGAGCAGTAACGATACAAAAATTAAAATGTACGTGGTTATAGAGTGGGCTTGTCAGCTTTGTCTTTGCCAATTTTTATAGCTGTTTAGGGATTTTAATTATTTTTGTATTATTTCAATTAATTGTCCCTTCTTTTCATTCGGCGTTTTGATACGGCGCCAGCCATCTTGAATTTTCGCCAAGCTGCACTCCACACGCACTTGGGCGTTCGTAATCAACAACCCGAGAACACTGTTCGCGGGTCACTCGAGAACAGGGTTTCAATTACGCCCCTTGTGAATTCATTGTTACTGAATTAAATTAACAAAACAACACCTCAAAGATGTACACTTATCGATATTAGATTTTGCCCTTCGCCGACGTATAAACCTCAACTTAGACGGTTCCTTATGCAAAGTGTCTATACAGTAATGTGAAGATGTTTAATATAAAAAGATTTGTGCATTAGGACAGAAGTAATAGAGCACAGTAGAAAACAATTAGGTACAACAAGAAACAGTACAGCATGAGAATGGGTGAAAAGAGAAACCAGATGGATACGAGTGGGAAAACCAACACGACGAAGGAGAAAATGGTCGTGTGGATGCTCCAACTGACTTCCCCTGTTAGTGAGATCAAGGTGTTTACATGTACCTGGGCTTCCTTGGTGGCGACTGCTCCAGCTTGCTGTACTGGCATGGCTGGGTTGACTTGTTGGGCTGGGGGCTGCATGCCTGGAGGAACCTGCCAATGAAGGATTGTCATCCAGATTAGATTTGGTGAACATTTAGCAATCTTGCGTGCAGTGTTGAACCTATTGCACCTGTACTACATTGCACCTGTACTACATGAGGGGTGAGTGTGGCCTAGTGGCTAGGGTTTGTGACTCGTGATCAGAGGGTCAGGAGTTTAAATCCAGCTGCTGGTCATATGTTGTGTCCTTGGGCAAGCCACTTCACCCCACTTGCCTTTCTCCACCCAGGAGTTTAAAAGGGTACTGGCATTAGCTGGGGAGTAACCTGCGATGGACTGGCATCCCATCCAAGGGGAATAGAAATAGTCTCAATTGTTTCAGGCCAAGGAAAGCAGGGATAAACGCCTGCCTGGTGGGCCCCATTGGCTCTTGACTTGACAGACTTTACTTACTTTGTAAGACATTGTAAACATGCAATGAAGTAACAGGCAGGGCTGTTTGGGATAGTTCTTTTTTTTAAGTAAACCAGAAGGCAGAGTGCAAGAAACAAGATTCCAAGCTCAAATTTGGGTTGGTTAAATGTTTTGGGAGGATTATTTGGACAGATTTAAAAACGGCAATTTGGGTGGATAATGAATCCCTTCCGTCTGATCAATGGTAATTATCTAAAATTACAGGAAGATATTTTGAACTTCCTGAAGCATTATACAATACTATCAATCTTGCACTTCTTGTAGCTTTGGATCTCTCTAAACCTCAATGCCTCAGCCACCAATCTGAATAATTAATCCACCACTGAGTTTAATACCTGGTTGTAAGGTGGGACAGGCCCTGGGGGTGGCTGGGGGTATCCCCCATACTGGTTGTAGCCGGCTTGCGTGTAGGGCTGCTGTGGCCCCTCGGTGTTCACCAGGGTGCCGTAGACGGGACCTGAGTAAGCCTGCTGCCGGACCACCAGCACTTGGCGCTGACGGATCTGGCGACGTCGGATGATTGCGCAGCAGGTGGTCAGGATGATCAGGAGGATTACCCCCCACATGAACCAGAACCCTGCAATGGGGGGAAAATAAACCATTTTTAACATTTGTATTTCATTCCTGATACCAATGACAAAATAAATCATGCAAATTATTTTACATTCATGTACGGCAGAGAACAATGCAACATTAATGTGATATTTCACAAATCATTTTTTTTAGTATTGTTCACTCAATCATCATTTAACAACTTTTTCTGGAGACTTTTAACTCTTAACTTGTAGAAAGTTTGGAGTTCGAAACTGTTCAAATCCAATGTTAAAAATTTTCTAATTCAGTGATAAAACTAGCCTGTTAAAATTGGTCATGTTGGTTGCAGCTAAAGGGTTCCCAATTTTAGTTACTTAGGTTAACAATTTGCTAGGTCAATTTTGATATTTTTTCCCCTATAACTTACACCATGTCAGGGCAACATTGTAGCAACAGTAGTAGTAACCATAACTATCACTGCAACAACCAGTACTACAGTACGACCCGTCGATACAGTATTCAGCCTGCAGTGCAAAAATTAGAATAAATAAAAAGAAGATATATGATGACCTAAAGCATCTAACAGTTTACTTTGAGTTAAGAGAAATAATGGGGCCAGTTAACATGGTTAAAGACTAACAATCTTGACTAAGGAAACAATGTTGCAACCTGACATTGTGTACAAAGTCTATGGAGAGGAAAATTTTCCAAGTATTTTTTAACAAATTTGGAATGATTCTCAGTCCCAGACACATGCCAGATTCATATCTTATCATCATTTTTGCAATTAATGACCTTCATTGAGATGATATGCAGGAAAAAAAAGTGGCGTCAGGTTGCAACATTTTCCCCCTAATTTAACTTTAAGACTAGTTAAATACATGTACTAAAGTAACAATAATTTAAACTAAGTTTCAAGAATTCTCATGGCCATGCACCTAGAGAATTGTACATAACCATTTGGGGTCAGGATACATTAATTTCCCAAAACTTGAATTGTATATTAAACTTTACTTTACTTTATTTCATCTCAAGGCATAAAAGAATACAGTTTGTACGACTATGATTCATGCATTTTTAGAATATAAAGATAAGAATAACATTTGAATAACACCACCTAGAGATGCAGGGGACCCACAAAAAGCAAAGCTTGTCGAGTGCGAGTCCCCTGAACATAAACAACAAAGAAGACACAGGATGACAAGAACGATTATAAACAAAGACAGCATGAAAGCTAAACAAAAAATATACATACACAAAAATAACGTAACATAATCATCATGATCATAATACAAATTAAAGGTAAATTTTAAATGAAAATGAATATAAGCTACGCGAAAGTCACAATATGACAAACAATAACAAACTGGTGAATTTTACAGGGAAATGAATGAATTTATAAAATAAAATAAAAGGTTAAAAAACATATATTTTGTATAAAAAAAATATATTTTGGATTGAGAAACCATCGGTCACGTTCATTTAAAAATGCAAATTATGTGTACAAATTTAAAATTTAGAAAAAACTGTGGGAGCCAAACTGTGTATACGTATACAACTGTGATGAATAAACTTTCATTCTTTCCAATTATACGACAGAAACTTTAGAAGATTTTCCTCATATTTATTCAGTGCCGTCCTGGAAAGCCGAAAATCATGGAAGTTGTTGAGCCCATGGCCGAAACACCACCACTGACCACCCCGCTGATCACTTTTAATTACGAATTTTACGATAATCAGTAATAATTACTTACGGCAGCAGAATCGAGGAGATAAACAAGCCACAAACACAAAGGCAGCACAAAAGGATTCATCTTTATTGATGCCATTTTCTGGACTAATTTTGTTTCAAGATCAAGGAAATTGCGGGCCAGAAACAACAGGACCACGCATCAAAAAATAACTTGAGAATCAGTCTGATTGCCGTGCAGCTAGCCTGCTTCAATATTCCCTGTATCGGCGCGGCGGCGCATAGACCAGTAAATCTCTCATGTGACGCATCACGTGATTAAGCCAGGATTGCAATTTTCCAAGTTAAGTGTGACGTCACATCTCAACTTAATGCTTACTGCATAATGGTGTAGCACATGCATAGTTATTTTATTTAAAAGAAAAAAAAAACCTCTGCTGATTATTTCGTGGATTTATGATTTCCCCCAATCCCACCCCATATTGGGACACCAAAAAACCAGAAGCTTTGGGATTTTGTATTGAAAAATAATATCATATTCAAAATCATTCTCAGGACAACCAATCAGTGACAATTAAAGTCCGAGTCTGACACAAAACACCAAATTTGTCAACTTCTTATTTTATTATACTAAGAAAGTAAACTTCAAGTTTCTGTTTTGTATAAATAGCAAGGCACATATGCACAGAATGTATCTAACGAATTTTAAAAAAAATATCATTTTGTAAAGGATGCACAAAATTTAACTTGATTAACGAATGGTTGTGGGTGGATTCAAGTTTGTGAGTTCTCGACCAGCCTAAATGAGCCACCCCCCCCCCCAAAAAAAACCTGCCCACAAAACGAACCCCTGAACATTGAACCCACTTACAGCACTGATCCATGCCATTTTGCAAAGAAATGATTCAGAGTTGCCGTGATTATGACCAAAATGAAAGTGATTGTGTTCGCAAATATTTCTTTTCTGCCGTCATGCTAATAAATGTAGGTACAAATTTAAAGTACACAAATAAGGAGTTCAATATACCATGAGTTGAATAGTAAACTAAATGCTGATGTAACTTTAATACACAATACTGACTCTGTACGGTTTTTGTTTACTAAATGTAAAAACTGTGTTTAAGTACCAAATACCTGAACTTTTATTTTAAATCATGTAAATGTAAAAAAAACCAAATTATATACTCTTAGTTCCAATTACATAGTTGATTTCCAAAAGTTTTCTTTTTCAAAGTTCAAATTTAATTCTGATTATCAATATCTGATTAAACTTTAAGCCACTTTTAGTAGCAGAGAATCTTTTAATCTTAAATTATGCAAAGTTATGCTACTGAGCTGTAAAATACAAGTCCTTTGGTACATCTCCAATTGTTATTTAGTACGGAACTGGTCAATAAATGTATCTTAGGTTTTCAAACACAAATCAATATCCTTTGTTTTTTCTCCAAGTCACCCATACCCTATGATGTGAAACGGGCAACACTATTTTTGCTCCAAGTCACCCATACCCTATGATGTGAAACGGGCAATACTATTTTTGCTCCAAGTCACCCATACCCTATGATGTGAAACGGGCAATACTATTTTTGCTCCATGAGAAACTCGAGGCAGTCCTCATCTGAGTTGATCATGACGCCCTCGGCCTCCGTCACCTGTAGGCCCTCCCTGGTCACACACCAGCAAGATCCTGCAGTACAGAGAGGAAAGTTCAAGCTCTGTAAACATTAGACTTGAAGGTCCTTATATTTGGGTGTTATCCGTGCATGATGCATAACCCACTAAACCTGGCACGGCATAGTCAGGGGTGTGAGTGACCACTGATAAAAATAGCTGAAAACAGCTGAAAAAGGTGTAAAAAGCTGAACTTTGGAAATCTCCTATACTTTTGTACACAGCAAGTGAGGGGAAAGAAGCTGAAATCCAAAACAAAAAAAGCTAAAATCAGCTTTTAAGCTGAGATTTCACACCCCTGATAGTGAATGTACACTGCCTTCTTGCGTCATGTCAGTTCCCTCACAAAGCCAATATAAGGGTACAGTATTTTAACAGTGAGTATCTTTTTTTGTGAATTTCTAAGCTGAATCAATAATCTTTCTTCAGGAAAAATGGGTGTTTCAATGAAATTTCTTTCATCCATATTCGATCAAACTAGTCAGTAGTAAAATGAAATCAAAGACTGAGCAACCCTGTTTATTGCAATAAATACTTATCAAAGTCACAATTTGCAAAGGAGCTTCATATAGTCTAAAGTTTATTTCTATCAAGACATGGACTAGAGATACGTACCGATTGACCCAGAGCACTGCATGGGTCTGTAGAAGCCTTTATTGTCACACCGTGGAGTAGTTTGTCCAACCATGGATGCCCTGTCAAGTTTCAGGTTCTTCTCTTGCTCGCATGGCCCCACTACAACACACACACACAAAAGTTAAAAAAAAAATCAACATTTATACTGGATACATACTGGATACACCTCTGCCAAGGAGGTTATATTTTCATCTGTGTTAGTTTGTTTGTTCGTCAGTTGGTTGGTTGGTCTGTTAACTAGGTAACTCCAAAACTTGTGGACTGATTTTTCATGAAAATTATTTCAGGGGTGGTCCTTGATACAAGTACAAATCCACTAGATTTTGAAAGTGGTCTGGATCTGGATCCAGTATTTTTTTAAAGGATTCTTAAGCCCACACAGGGATTTGGGTTGTCGCAGTGGTACTTTCCCCACCTTCCACCTCAATGGTCCGGGTTCAAATCCCATCCAGATCAGCAGAAACATGGGGGTAGTAAATGCGGAGGGAAAAGGAATGAGAGCAGAAATGGAATTACCTCTGCGATGGTGTGGGCATTCTCCTTCATTCTTCTGGTGGATGAAATCTTGGTTCCTGGTGCATTTGAGGTACCGCAGTGTACACTCATTGCCATAGGTCACTCCGTCGGTCCCACACACGGGATCGTACATCTTGTTGCAGGCAATGGAGCACTGCTTTTCTGTTTTATACAAAAGAAAAGAGCTTTCAATACCTTGGATCTCTTAACTCAATCTCCATCATGCTTTGAACTTGCCAAATTAACCCAGTGGCCCTTGTACCGCTCCAAACCGCCCCGCCTGTTATTCCTCATACTACACCAACATGTCCCAGCACTCTGTGGGAGTTTTTCATTCATGGAGAAACAAATACAGTGTAAATTGATTGTAATGAATTATTGACAATCGAACCAGATCATAGCAAAGTTCATGTATTTGATAAATTTGCTACATAGGCCTAGACATGCCAAACTGGCTGAACCATCCTACATACATGTCTATTTTTTTGTTGTAAAGAATATGATACGTGAAAGTAGTGAACGACGCTATGCACATACCTGCTACAGGTTTTTGGCACTGTATCCCACAGCCATTTGAGCAACACTTGAAGTTCCCTTCACAGTCGCTGTCACCAGAGCAGTCTTCTACACAAATGCCTGCCATATCTTGTGGTAAATCTTGGCATGCCCCCTCCTTGTTGACTGCAGAGACAAATTAGGGAGAAAAGAAACAAGTGAAGAACATGTAAATTTCTCTGCTTTGTTTTCTCTGACTGTTTATTCTACATTTAAATTCTCTTTGAACTGAGACTTCGGATAGAGTAAGTGAGTTCTGTTTATTTCAAGTAAGTACACTCTTAATGTACTGCCCTGAACTTTGAGTTTTATTGTGTTTTTTTTTTCATCCCATTTGTGTTTGAACATTGACCAATGAAAGAGGAGCTACTTGTCATGAAATATGTATGAAATGTAGTAACATTGGCTATTTAACTACACATTTAAACAACCACTGACCAATTGGTGTCCCATGGAGCTATAGCTCCATGGGTGGCCACAGTGGACAAGTGGTTTTTCTTGGACATACTTCTTCTCACAAATGTTTCTTCATCTTGTGTCGTCTGCTCATATTTCATCCCATGGCTTTGGTAATGGAAGTATCCACGCTCAGCTGCAACATTCTGGAACACAAGCATGACAAGCAGATATTAAACATTAGTTATGTTGAGTACTGGCTGTCTGGTTAAATCACAACAGCAGCAGTCCTTTCAAAGTTTCAATCAAGTTTCACTGTCTAGCTTCCACTTCTGTGGACTGGGTTTGAATCCTGCGAAGGCAAGCAAAAGCAGTACTACAGCAGTACACTTTTGCCAGTTTTCAAGTTAATGCCACCATGGAGCTAGCTCCATAGTAGTAAGTAGTATTAGGACCTTGCTCTATGGTATTACTAAGTAACACCACTAACACTAACACTGGAACACAGTGAGTTAGACTTTCTGATCTTGTCTCGACAACTCACCAAAACCAAAGATATGGCAAGAATGACACACAAAACAATACTGGTGAATCTCCTCATTTTCGGTGGACTGAGCGGAGCAACTTTTCTTCGATTAGCAAGCTTCTCTACTAATAAATAATTGTACTAGTACTTTAGTTTGGGATAATTCCTGGAGGAACTGTGCTACACAGTAGTACACTTTCTGACACCACAAATGTAAACAGGAAATGACTGCAGTGTGACGACTACATATGACGTCATGTAATACATATGCATATAACGCGTAATGCCGATTAATTTCCAAAGGGTCACAGCAACTGCTGTCACTCTTCGTTTTTAGTGCAACAAGCTTGGAAATCATTTTCAACGACTTGATTTCCCCATTTACTGTAAACATTTTTTTGTTAAAAATAATTAACTCCGTCATAGGGTCATATCCACAGGCCAACAGCCAACAGGCGCAAGAAAAATGTTTGTTACGTTGGGTTTTATTGTGTTCACCGGAAAAGCAATTTCCAGAATGATGTTCATGTCTAGACTAGACTGGTGACTTGTTACTTCATGGCGGGTTAGCTAACGTAGATTTACGAAAATTACTTGGGTTTCAGATATATACGAAAATGGCGGCGCCCATGAGTTTTTGATATCACCGCGGGAACTTAAAACGAGGGATAATCAGTTAGTTTAAAGCTTAGTTTCCTTGCCATCGATTCCGGTAAAGCGGCAAAGGTAGAAGATAATAACGTTGGTACTATAAATAGCGTGTCAGGGTTATGAATATATTTTTAACCAGAGCCTAGTAAGTAAATATTTGAAAATCTCATTCTCACTCATGTCAGTCATGTCAGTCGGGTTCCTGACCGCTGACCATATGCCGCGCAGCATGGCAAAATTCTGCTACCGTGCTGGATGCACTTCAAAAATCTGCTAGATTTACCAAAAATCTGCTAAATCACATATTAATTATTTACACGAAATACATAATAAATTCAGTTATACTCACGCCACATACAGATGTTATCCCTTAAACAAAACAAAACCCATTAAAATTTCCTTTAAAATTAAAAAAAATACAATAGGCCCCCTAATCAATATAAATTAATTACAATTTTCTACATGAATATTTTTTTTTTTTTTTTTTTTTAAATTTGCACGTGTCTAGCTGGCTTGCAAATGCAATGGTCTAAACATTTCCTGCTGTTGTATTACAGCCAAATGTTCAGATATTCAGTCCCCAAAAATGTGTCTTTTCGTTCTCTTGTCATGCTTGTAATAAGTTGTATGGAACAAGGTCCTCAGCTACATGATGACGATTACAATTTTTGCTTCATCATTGTCGGATTGTTCATCATATTTTACTTATATTTAAAGATATGCCCAGTTGGACTCCTTCAGATAAAACCTTTTACATTTTAATTGCATTGTCAACAAATGTCAGTGGTTGTTGAATAGAACAAATGTCAGTTTATTTTTGTAATATTCATTTAAGACTAAAAAAGTAATAGTGTACTTATCACTATATCAGTGCTTTTTAAACAATTTTGATTCAATTTTAGATGGCTGGCCAAAGTAGCTCAGCAGAGCTCATGAATCAGCTAGAAGCTCTGAAATGCCTCGCTTCAGACTCCCAGGAGATGCTACATCGGAGCAAACTGTGTCATCCAAAGACCCTCCAAAAGGGTCAACAGCTGCTGAGCCAGGCGGCGTCCCTGGTGACGGAATTCCAGATGTTGGCAGAGGAGGCCATCCAGCGTAGCCACGATGAAGAGATGATGAAGAGCGCCCCCAACGGTTGGCTAGATGCGGAGGAATCATTCGGTGATGCCACTCTAGAGGAAGAAGACAGGGACATTTTAGAGGTACTTTCTGCCGTACAAAAGAACAAAAATAATAAAAAAGATAATTTCAAACAAACTGAGCCATTGTCACAATGAGGCTGATTTGTCAAATTCATCAACTTGAATGGGTCTTATTCCTTATGTGCAAGGAGCCAAAATTTTAGCTTGAAACAACAAATCAATATATCCATTCAACATCAGTTTTGCATTGCTTTAATTCCAGCTACACTAAATTTATTAAAATACTTTTGTATTGAAAGAGTGAATTTTTGTCAAAATAACTGAGGAAAAGAAACCATCTGATATTTTTAGTTTGTCAAGTTTGGTATGGTGGTTGTATTCTAAAAGTAAAGACATCTTTATCTTTTCTTAGCCTACACCCGTTAGAAACAAGCCGCTACCCAGAACTTCTGAATTCAGCAGAGTTCAATCGCAGCAAGAGAAGACACCCAGTGAGAAGGAGAAACAAGAGACAGATGAGATGATGAATTATCTACAGAACTTTGAAGAGGAGGAAGAGGATTTTGATGAGGAAATGTTACAGGTCTGAATTTTTTTCATTTCAAAAATGGCCAACTTGAGTTTATCCCAAATTCTATCTCAAAACACTGATGTCATGGCCGGATGATTAGGGTTAGTAATTGTGAAGTGCCTTAAAACATGTGTGAAGAGTGCTACATAAACCCCACATCATTTTAATAGTAATAATTAATAAATTCCACTTTTTGATTATTTTTATTTTGAGCAGGAGATTGATGCTGTGTGCAAACAGGCAAGTGGAGACTCGGTTAAAAATGAACCAGTCGATATCAATGATGAGGAGGAAGATGACGATGGAACAGATGAAGAAGATTATGGTAATATACTTCATTTAGATTAGCTTGGTTGGCAAAGCGATTTGCACAGTCAAATTGTATGCTGTCAGTGTACTGTGTCAGTTGACTGTACTGGTTAATTATTTATTTCGAGCAATGTTAGTGTGTAATTTCAATCGTTAGTTTATTATAGAATATTCATAATTTGTTCAATTTGTTTGTTTAGATCCGTCAGTCCCTCCCCCTGAACAGAAGCACATTGACGTCCTGAAGACGTACTTTGGACATGCCAGATTCAGACCGTAAGTTTGTAGCTTTTTTTGGATGGGGGATGTTTAATAATTTAGAAATGATTGAGGTTCTTTCTAAGGCTATACAAGTATAAATTTGTGTGTTTTTTCCTTCCCAGAATGCAGTGGAAAATCATCCACTCAGTTTTAGCCAGAAAGGACCAGTGTGTTGTCATGGCAACAGGTAATTAATTAAAAAAAATCAATTTAAACTACAGTTTTAACAAACTTGAGTATCAGATATTCAGTAAAAAATTAACCAGATACTTCTCATCAACTGCAATGTACATGTATCGTTAGGATTGAGAAGTAAAATTGTGATTTTTGGGGATCTTTTTTGTTGTCAAGGTTATGGGAAGAGTTTATGTTACCAGTACCCGGCGGTGTTCACCGGGGGTACCAGTCTAGTCATCTCCCCTCTCATATCACTGATGGAAGACCAGGTACTAGCCCTCAGGTACGGACAATTCGCTTCTTTTTTGTGAAAGCTGGTTTCCATTTTCTCTTAAAACCAAGTCATTTGCAGGATATATTTGAATAATGACTAAATCCTGCCTTCGTTAAACACATACATTTATGTATTTGTACTTTTTTTTAACCATCGAGGCTACAGTTAATTTCTGTTAGATTAGGCTTCCAAAAGAACATTTTCAGATTGTTTTGATCTTGTAGCCATAAATGTATAACTTGACCAGGTTGTTTTTATTGATACTTTTGATTTCATGCAGGATTGCCAACATCAAGGCATGCATGCTAGGCTCGGCACAGACAGAAATGGGCCGAGTTACGCAGGAGGTTCTTAGGTGAGAGGCTTCGTCATCTTAATCATCGACCCGCAACGATAATCCTGATTAATTTTTTCCTTAAGTCGAGTCATGGAAAATTATAACTGAGTGTAGCGGATGCAGGATTCTGGATCTTGGTTATACACACTCGGAAATAATGAAATGAAACAAATCCAATGACAGTTTTTAATACTGTGGTGTTTCTTTTCGTAGTGGAGTTTACCGCGTTGTCTACCTGACCCCAGAGTTTGTCTCCGTAGCGGACGACATCTTGAGAGACTTGCAGCAAAGAGTTGGTCAGTATCCATTTCTTAAAACTAACTTGAAAAATATGCCTGCAGATGTTTTTGTGATCATATAATAGCCAGCCCTTATATTTTTCATGTCTAATTTCTGGTTACTTCGGTTTGCTGAGGCAGTTGTTTCTCAAAATGATATGAAACTTTTTTAAGTAGAGTGTATTGTTATTGTGTAGATTGGAGAATTTTCAAACATCATGTGTCGAGTAAAAGTTGTTATGGATTTAAATAGATTTTAACAAATTCTGTTTTAATTGTCAGATTTTGTTTGTGTTTTTAGGCATCACACTTGTTGCCATCGATGAAGCCCACTGCGTCTCACAGTGGGGTCATGATTTCAGGGCATCCTACAGGACTCTGGGAAATTTGAGGACACTCCTGCCTGGGGTAAAAAAATATCACACATTTGTCAGACTGACACTCCATAAATTATGATTTATTGAAAGAAAAGAATGTTTACATCACACCTTGCAACATTCATTACTAAAACTCATTAAATATTTTTTGTTGATATTGGCTACTATTAAACAAATCTATGGTAATGCTTATCATATTGCGACCTCAGTATCTAGTATCAAAAAAACGGAATTAAATTTCTCCCCCGTTTTTCTCTGATTATTCAAAGGTTCCATTTGTGGCCTTGACGGCCACTGCAACCCCAAATGTCCGTGATGATATCTGCAGGTCCTTGAAGCTTAAACACCCCCAGATTACTTGTACCAGCTTCGATCGTCCAAACCTCTACCTACAAGTCCGTATGAAGGATCACATTGAGGCGGACCTGCAGTCGCTCATGGTGGAAACTCGCAAGTGAGTAGTGAGCGTTGTAGTTGAGTCTATCACATGTCTGGTACACAAGTCTGTTCATGTAGATATTAAGGCATACTTTGACTAGCCCGCCGCTGTTTTGACTAGCATTTGGCTAGCGGGCTACCGCTAAAGTCAAATCCTGCAAGTATTACTCAAGTTTCTTCCCCTGACTGCCTTAATGTGGAACTTCTGTCAGAATCTTACTGTCCCATATAATTTAACTCATGACTTGGGTGGAATTTTGTTCAGGTTCTACTATGAGTTTGATGGCCCAACCATTGTGTACTGCCCCACGAAGAAAGCAACGGAAAATGTTGGTTCGAAACTCAAAGGCAAGTCTGAATCATGAATAAAAGTTAAAGATATTCATGATAATAATATTAAAGTGGTGCTTTTAATATGTTTTACAAAAGTCTCAAAATGCGTCATTGTTATTATCCATATTCATAATGCTATGAGATCAGGTATCTGCAGCAGCTCAGCACCAGCGAAAACTGTTTTGTTTTGGAGAAGAGCAATTAATTTCCTTCAAACATATTATCTTTGATTTTGTCGATGTGGTTTATATTTGCAGACATGGGTGTGAAAGCAGCCATATACCATGCTGGATTGACGCCCAAAGCACGCAAAGATGCCCACCATAAATTTGTCAGGGACGAACTGCAGGTAAGCAAAGCCTTTTGTTTCCCTTTCAATAAGCAATATCTCACGTTAATGCGAAAAGCAGAAATAATTAGACACCCAGCTGGCAAAACATTTTCTTCCTCACATTTATCTTCCAAATTTCCATGAGATTTGGCACTAAAATAAATCTTCAAATGATCTCGTCCGCAGTGCATTGTAGCCACTGTGGCCTTTGGCATGGGCATTGACAAGCCGGACGTCAGGAACATCATACATTATGGAGGTAAGAGGTCAAAGTTCATGATAGCCAATGTAATCCCACAAAATGAGGATTAAATCATGTATGCGATAGTATACCTATTTTTTTTAAATCAGGTATTCATGCATTTACATTTTTGTAAATTGTTGGGGCTGGGTTCTGCATTTGAGGTCTAGTTTTTAGTTGTCTTTTCCATAGTAAGCAACCAAGTCTGTCTCAATGACGATGCTAAAAACATTTTGTGAAATTGATGCATCAACAATAAGTGTCGATAAAATATATACTTTCAACAAAAGTGTAATTTTTTTTACAATTATTCAAACAGCGCCCAAGGATATAGAGTCTTACTATCAGGAGATTGGACGAGCTGGCCGGGACGGTATGCCAAGTAACTGCTATGTGTTCTACAGTTCTGGAGATTTCGCTACCAACAGGTTGGTACTAAACAACATTTGGCCAACCTTAGTTCCAAATGATGTGGTTTATATTTGCAGACATTATTTGCAGACATTAGTTCCAGCTGAATTCCACAGCCTGAAGATATTAAAGGGAAAATACAACATTTGCAAACATCAAAAAATAAAACTACCAAATCATTTTGAAATACCTTGCTGGACTGTTAGTGAATGAAAGTGTAAAGCATCCTGTAAAATCATGGCACCTGGTATACTGTCATTTTCAAGAAAAGTGGTATTTTTGTATCGATTTCCAACGCTGTTGGCCGATCAGCGTTGGAAACAACTGGCTTTTTTGAAATACTGGCCCCAATTGACCATTGCACTTGTTTGCAATTGATTACAAACCTATGAACGGGTATGAGCCAGCTAGACTGGTTCCCTGACCTTACAATTCCCCAATGTATGTAAACTGCTCTGTTTCTTCTTATATGGATTCAGGGAACCAGACTACAGGAAAATGATTGTTTTTCTTGGTTTTTATAGCATTTTCGAGCCCAAAACCTCAAAAAAGTCAGTGTAACTATATTTGCTATATATTTCCAACCCCCCAATTCCATCCATTTCTGAAAATTACAGCAAAAGCAAATGATGTATATTCCCTTTAAGAATAATGTAGTCAGATTTCATAACAGATTTGTTGACCGTTACACCCATACTGACAGTGTTCATGTTCATAATTTTAACATACTCCATTAACTTAGGATTATCTTTTTTGTACCCTGTATATCACTTCTTTAATTTTTCAATTAATTTACTTGATATTTGTATATTTATATTTTGAATCCTGACAGGTTCTTTTTGAAAGATATAACCAGCGAAAGTTTCCGAGCCCACAAGAGTAAAATGATAGCCAAAATGGAGCAATATCTGTCCACCACAAGATGCAGAAGAAAGTAAGATTTCCTTGAAGTCTTCTAAGCCGTTAACCTTCCGTCAAATTCTGTAATCTTGCCAAAACTCTAATCATACAAAGTTTCATGTTATCAATCTCTTTGTCATCAGTGATTTTTTTTCCTGTTGTACCGACAGAGAAATCTTGTCTCATTTTGGTGGTAAAGGGGCCAACAGTGCCATAATGAACACGGACCAATGCTGTGATAACTGCAAACAAAGGTAAGGGAGTGATGACAGTAGTGTGCATTGTCAATAACCCTAAGGCCAAAAAAAAGTCTCCGGTTTCTGGTATGGAGCTTGTCCAAAAAGTGGTGCGGCAACGCGGCTTTTTTTTTTTTTACCTGACTTTTTTGCTTCAAATGTCGGCTGATGACTGCAAATGGTGCCTTACTAAACTTAGTGCAAATATGTGGGAGTCCAGAGAGGCCACATAAAGCTTATTCTCGATCATAACCCCATCTAAAAACACGTTAAAATTGCGCAGCAGCAGGATTCCAGTCAAACCAGTGAGTTTGGCGGTTTTGAGACATCATCTTTCATTAAAAAAAAAACTTTTTCATTTTGCCGACGCGCATACCAGAAACCGGGGGCCTAACCGAACACAACCCATCAAAGCCCATCAGCAGGTTTTGTTTAAATCTGTTGGGATAGGTACAGTACCCCTAAACTGATGGTCTTTTACACTGGGGTTGGCATACCTCCAGAAACTAAGTCCAACAGTGTGTGTGTACAATTTCCCATGTGGGTGTTGGAATTTGCCAGAATGGGTATGGTTCCTAGTAAATTAGGCTGGGGAGTTGGGGTTAATAGGTGGTGGCTATGTGGATCATTCTATAAATTTGAAAGTCCACTTTTTTCTGTGTCCCAGTTACATCTTACATTATATAACTTTGATGCACTCCTAAATGCAGTCGTCCTCCAAGAGTGATTATGAATAGCAAACTGCCTACCCCAAAGTCATTCTTAATGTTACAGGAATGGCAAATGAACAGAAAAATTTAGACACTATTTAGACCCTAAATTTATAGAATGGCCCAGATGCAAATAGCAATTCAAAAGCTGTATACAGTTTCAAGCTTTTCATAGGTTTGTGCCCAGTAGGCTTACATTGTGTAATCTAATACAGCTGTGTGGTCCTTTCACAGACTCTCAAGGGGCGGTGCTACATCAGGGGATTCAGATGAGAAGGATTACACCAAAGAGTTGCTCCATCTACTCACTGCCGTCGAAGTAACAGGCGGCAGGTTCGGGCTCACAGTCCCTGTATACTTTCTGAGAGGCTCGGTAAGCCCACTTTTGATGACACAGGAAAGTTTTAAAGAGGTTGTGGAATGCTCGAAGACATTTCCGTCATTTTTCGGGTATATGTAGCCTAAGGTGTGATGAAATAAAAACGACTATTGTGTCTGTCATGAAATGAGTACAAAAGGTACTTTTGAGAGCTGTTTTTCAGGTCCTGTTTCGACCCGAACGTGCAATTTGTGTAAAAGTCGTCGTTGGGGGTAGCAAACAAAACATAGTAAATCGTGACGTAATAAACAGGACTCCCGATGCAGCGTAGTATAAACAAGTCCTGTTTATTACGTCACGATTTTTCTCATTTTACGAAGAACCCGACGACTGTTGATTTCAATTATGCGCTCGCCGACCAACAAATTACTCGATGAATTTCAGTTTTATAAACATATAAACGCACATTACAAAAGAATGGGACTTTGTCATTATGATATATATGGGTCTACTCTACAATAAAAAAATATAAAAAACAAAATGACTTTTAGCATTCCACAACCTCTTTAAATATGTATACAATTTTAACGATTTGCAGTGATGCAGTTTGCAGTGATTCTCACCTTTGGCGCTGTAAAAGAAGAATCTTTTCAAGAATATAAATTTTAAAAATGCCACAAATGGTTCTGAAATAATGGTGAATACTTAAGAAATTAACAGTGTGGAGTGTTTTTGAAATAAATGTTTAACATTCAAAATTTGTCTATTGTCCATTTTTCTAGCATTTAATTTTTAATTATGGGGGATTTGTATCACACTCAGAAGTTGGAGTCGTCTCAGAGTGTCATAAATAAGTATTTTTAATCATATTTTTGATCAGAAAACTTTCTCTGAAATGAAGTTCTGTTCATTTTGTCTCCCAAGGTCAACCAGAAACTACCAGCGCGATATCAATCTCATGGGGATTTCGGCTGCGGAAAGTAAGTACTCCATGTGTGCCTCTCGATCGCAAAACAGTGTTGAAATTAGCGCACCATTTTGAAAATAGTTTTGTCGTACTTTCTATAGAATTGGGCAGCAATTTCGAAATTCTCTCACAGGTAAAGCAGCATTTCGGTAACCTAAAATAAAAAAATACAAATAAGTAAATGCATTCACATTTAAAAGTTTAAAAGTGACCGACTATTCATTTGCTGTTGTTTAGCAAAAGACAGGTTTGAACTTTTAAGTTTTAAAGAACTGGTTTTATTTCTGCAGATACCGGGCTGAAAAATGGTGGAAATCCTTTGGTAAGTCTAGCAATTGGACCTTTTTAACTGGACGTACATCCATTTCAAAGCAGGCTATTTCCGTTGTGATTATGATGTTGTGATTCACATGGTATGGAAATTAAAGTGATATTCAAAGCCTGGTTTTCATTATGAAAATTCTCCACAAATGACATTCAAAACCTTTCTTTTTCATTTTCTGAGAACTTGCTAAGTACTTACTCGATTCCGTAATCTGGAACTGGTTGCTGACACAGCGGTCGGGAACTCAGTACCCAGTTCCGATGCACAGCCCTACAAAGAATGTTGTGTATTTTGTCTTTTGGGTGTGGGGTGAAGTTGTAATGTATATTAAAGTCTTTAAATTGTTTATGCATTTGCTTACAAATAAAACTCTGTCATTTTGTCAAATGTCTGTGAAAAATGTCTGCTGTTGAGCCCACCGTATATATCTTGGTTACAAATCACGAGTCCCTTTCAATTGATATTTATTGAATTATTATTGTGGATAAAACCAAAAGAGATGAATTGATAACTCCTGACCTACAGCCCGGCAGGTGATAAACAAGGAATACCTCGCCGAGAGACAGGTCCCTGGAGGCTTTGGCGCTACTGTGGAGCTGTCGTTCCTTGGGCACCGTTGGTACAAAAGTGCCACACGAGGCCAGAATGATTCCTTCAAGATTACTCCTAATCAGGTGAGAAGAGATTCTGTCACATCCAAAAGTGAAAACGACCAAAGCCTGAAAAGCGCCACCTATTGTCTGATAGCGTCCGCTTTGAAGGGCGCCCCCATAGAAAGATGGTATCCATTCCCCCCTCCCCCCCCCCCATTTTTATTTTATGAAGGCCCTGGGACTCGCAGTTGATTGGAATCAACTCCCCCAGTCCATCACCTCTCTGAAGTCCCTTGAGTTGTTCAAGGCAGTCATCCAACCTGGACAGAACTGAACACACTCTGCACCCCATGGCGTCATGGGCCAAGTTTGCCCTGTTGCCATGTACTTAGATGAAGATGGACCATTGAAGAAAAAAACCTGTCTACCTTCAGCACGGATGCTACAGATATTGGGTGACCCCCACAGTAACATCCAGACCCCACTCGCCCCTATGGTTAAAACGCTGGCTACGCCCCTGCACCCCACCTTGATGAATCCATAAAACCAACCTTGGGCAGTTTAAGGAGAACCAGGCATTGTGGTTTGCCAATAATGGGTTAAACGGTAAACAAAGTTATTTAAAAAAAGAAACAAAGTTAATATAGAATCCTAGTATAGATTTTCTGATCAATAATGGAATCTGTTGCTGACGTTGCAGGAGATGCTGTCATTTGAGAAGGAGGTCTTGAAACCCACAATCCTGGCCCAACGCAGCGGTCCGCAAATTTTGCCGTCCACCCAAGTCAGCAACTGGAAGCAGGTCTCGTACGATGACGAGGCTACTCCTGGACCCAGCATGCAGGCTGCCCAGCCCAAGGTGGATCCTAAGGAGCAACAGTTACAGGTATGACGGTGTTTATCTGTGTGTTTGTCACCCCGTTTGTCTAGCTGTATTTTGATTGTACTACCTTGGAGGCTTAGCGCTGCCCACCCTAAGGTAGAGCCTACGGAACAAGAGTTACATGTTGGTCACTCCATGACAGCGTGTGTAAACACCGACAATCATGGACTAGGGACAAAAGGGTTAGGGCACAAACAACGGGTCCACGATGGACCGAACGACCACGATCGTGTACAAAACCAATAAGAGCTGTTGCTATAAAGTTAGTACAAACAAAGGAATGAGGATTAGGGACAATAGGGAGTCCACGATTGCCGGTGTTTACACATGTGCGTGGGTGAGTATGTAAACACCGGCAATCGTGGACGTAGGACAAAAGAATTGGGGCGCAAACAATACGTCCACGATTGACCGAACGTCCACGATCTCAAATCGTGTACAAAACCAATGAGAGCTGTCGCTAAAAAGTTAGAGTACAAACAAAGGAAAGAGGATTAGGGACAATGGGGCGTTCACGATTGCCGGCATTTACACACGTGGGTGTGTGTGTGTCCTTTACCTCACCCGTCAAGATATTTGTATGCCAGTCTGTACAGTTAAAACATGGTCACTGTATGACAATGTGTATTTGTGTGATCGTCACCCCGTCTGTTGATGTGTTTGTATTCTAGTCTGTTAGTCGAAGAGTTTGCTCCTCGATTCACATGCTCAAGTTCAATTCTGTAAAGGTTGACTTACTTATGTTTTTATCTCAATTGCCTATTTCAGGGTGTCCTGTACTCTAAGCTGATGAGTTTGAGAAACAGCCTCGCGTCTGAGATGGGAGCCGCACCCTACATGGTGGCTAACAACAAGAACCTTCACGATCTGGCTATCATCAGGTAGAGTTGCTTGGCTGTCTGTGTGCTTGTCTGTATGTCTGATACTAGGGCTGTTACTCCAACAAGACGCATGGTGGTGTGTTACACATGGCACAAATGAGCCTTTAAGCATTATCTACAGTTATCTCAGAAAGCACACCCGTTAAATTAGACAAATTCGAATTTTTGCTTTGCCTACAGAGGGCTAGCCTATGATCCTCATTGAAACTGACTGACAGGTTGACTGCCTAATGACTGACTGACTCCCCGAGTGACTAACTGACTGACAGACTGACCGACTGTCACTTGTGAATTGGCCTGGTTGTTGGCTGTTGACGGGAGATGGTATAGGGTTACCCGTAATGAGCTAACTCTGGCCTATTTAGGCCAAGTTCGCGCAAGGAATATAGTTGACCAATGGTTAACTAACATTTGCCCGAACTCTGTCTAGTCAACGGTGGTTGACTACGCTAGTCGACTATTTGGAACCAGCCTACTGGGTTGGTTGCTTCGCTGGTACCCAATAGCCGCGCGCATTCATAACGCTAGCAGAGAGCCAGGATCCAGAAGTTTTGCGATGACATTTTGACCAGCGTTTGACTAGAGACGTTCGCACGTTGCTATCAGTGCGCAGGCGTAAGGTACGTCACAAATCAACCACTAGTCGACTAATGGTCCTTGCCCGAACTTGGCCCTAGATGCCAGATGCATGAAAGGACCTCTAGGAAACAGACTTCCTGAATCAATTGTATAGAATTTTGCGGGCGGTGGGACCAGCTACACTATAGGCTGACCTCGTGTTGTTTTGGTATCACAGGCCAAGTACCAAGCAGTCTTTGCTGAAGATTGATGGCATAGCTGAGGCCAGAGCAGAGAAGTTTGGACTGAGGTTCATTGAAGCTGTGCAAGAGTTCTGCGAAGAAAACAACCTGAAGATGGATAACTTTCCAGCTACTGCCCCGTCTCATATCACAGACAGTCAAGTAAGCAGAACCACTGACATATCTTTCTGATGAGTCCTTGACTCATGATCAAAGGGTCGGGGGTTCGAATCCAGCTGCTTGCCGTGTGTTGTGTCCTTGGGCAAGCCATTTTAACCCCACTTGCCTCTCTCCACCCAGGAGTATGAATGAGTACCAGCATTAGCAGTAACCTGCGATGGACTGGCATCCAATCCAGGGGAAATAGAAATATTCTCAGTTGTTTCGAATCCCAGATAAATGCCAGCCTGATGGGCCATATTGCCTCATGACAGACTTGGCTTTTGTATTAACTGATACCAAAAACTGCTTGTATTGTAAACTGTCTTGTATTTATTGTTCTCCTAAGGCTCAATATTCGTTTTGCTTGTGTTGGTATAAATTTTACCAAATTCTCCAATATTTCAACCAATTGTTGGTAAATTGTTTCTTCCAACTGTTTTTTTTACCCAGTTTTTGTTTACACAGTGTACATATTTCCCCCACTCAGGGCTCACAAGGTGTGGTTTTCCAGAGAACAAGTATCGTCCACCAAATCTCGGAGACGGTCCGAGAAAGCTACAATCTGTTCCACGAGAAGAACATGTCCCTGGTACGTTACCAATTACTCAGGAATGAGATAGTTTGACAGACTTACTTGAACACTGGAATTGCAATCTAGAGGTCTCAGGTGCGAGTCTCTACTCATTCAAGTTGTATTTTTCCCACAAATTGATGTCTTATTCCCTTTCAGGATGAGATTGCTAAGGAGAGAAATCTGAAGGAGACGACCGTCGGCGGCCATCTTGCAGACGCCATCAAGGCTGGCTATCCTGTCAATTTTACCCGACGTAGGTTTTCTTAAGACCAACTTTTGTGTACAAAATAATCACTCAATGTCTGCCATGAATATTTTTATAAGAAGAGTCCAAAGTACATGTATCATAATTATGTATTATTATGTTTCCTTCATTGTCATCTATTCATTTTGAGTCCATGCTTTGATTAATTGTGAAGGAAGTTGGCGTCCAAAGATATGACTTTTCAAACCCATTGACTTCAATTTTGACTGATGTATTTCCATTTTATCATTGCCTTTTCAATCGAGAGCTTGGGTTTTTTGGTCATTTTTTGTCATTGTGCTTACAGTTGGCATCAGCTCAGCCCTTCAGAAACAGATCGAGGACGTCGTTAGAGCGCCCCCTATCAACTCAGGTGACATTAGTTTCTCCTTATTTTGGTATTTGTTTACCAAAACTGTAAACCAACAATGCAATGCTGAGACTTAACAAAAAGAAAAAAAATGTTAACAAAAGTTATTTGATTTTTGCCAGTATTTGCACATACTTGTTTGATTTGGAAATTGAGAGAAAAATTACTCTGCCATTCAGATGTCGTGATCGGAAGGTTAATTTTTCATTGGTTGACTTTGTTGGATTTTGTTGTTTTTCATTGACTTTACTCTGTCTTTTCTACAAACAACGTTTAAAAAAAACCAACCAACCAACCCAACAAACACAAAGAAAATTTTGTTTTTCCGTTCAGACATTAGTCGCTTAGGCCCCATCAAAGCCCTTCTACCCGAGTCCGTAGACTGGCACCACATCAAAATAGTCTTGGCAATTCTCCAAGTTCAGTTCGGCATGTCGACAACTGTCGGTGACGACGACACTGATAAACCGGTACCCGGCAAACAGCCAAGCGGCTCGTCCAGACCACTTTTTCCACAAACAGTGGTAGGTGACTTTTCAAAATTCCAAATAGTAGTATAAAGCCTTATTTTTTTTTAAAGGTTGGTTTAGGTGCCGTTTTTTTTTTATAATTCCAGATGGGTCAATTGATGGTGTAATTAATTATCAAATTTTTTACTGAAGTATTAAAATTCACGTCTCCTGCAAAGTTCTACCAAAGTCGGAGGTTTCAAAATCCCCCTGTTATTTTTATATTACCACCGATTTCAACCAACAGCATTACCCATTGTATCAGCAGGAGCGTCATCACGCAGCCTCCTTCGACCGTAAACCCTCCTTCTCAATCGCCACAACGTCTAGCCCTGCCTCCAGCCCGCAGATGAGCAAGAGTGCCTCCTATCACGCCGGCATGTCTACGACTAGCAGTCCGTCACCAGAGCAGAGCAGTGGAAACAAACGCAAACTTCCTAGTTGGTTCGGCGGGTCGGCCAAGAAAGGGAAAGTTTGCGGAGGGACTAGTGGGACGACGACTAAGAAAACAAAGGGAAGTAGCTTGTTTGGAAGACGATAAAAAATATTCCTGAAGATGCGAGTAAATCACCACCGTTAAATACACATATAAACATCACAAAAACAAAAGAAAGTCAACTCTCATTGGAGAGCTCATAATTTTGAATCTGATCATCTTATAATGACGTCATTTAAATATAGACCTTTTGGGAATTTTGTTAGCTACATTTTGATACCCGGTTGACGACCAAAGACTGTAAATCGTTCAACATTGACAACGGTTTATGGATAATGATGCAGTTTGAAAAATTGCAAATTTAAAGATTATGCAAGGAGAAATTGAAAAGCGTAACCACACATGCCCTTAATTGGCCCCTATCGACTGCACAGTGCCGGAACAGTGTGGGTGATTCAATTCGTGCTCTCATGAATGCAAGCATTGTGCGATTGGTATTCTCTGCCGTTTGTTTTGGGCAGTGTGACATTGTCACGCAGCAATTTCCACTCACGTACTCTTTAAATTTGCAACTTTTCAATTTTTATCATTTTTCATAAACCATTGTCAATCTTGGACAATTTACAGTCTTTGGTAGCAAACGGGGTATTAAACTGTGTCTAACACCATTCCCCAAAGGTCTATTTAAATAACGCTATCATAAGACAATCAGACTCAAAATTATGACCCCTCCAATGAGTGTGGACTTTCTTTTTTTGGCGGTGTTTACATCAGTATGATAAAAAAAAAAGTGTAGTAAAGTTTAGCAAGTTGAAAAAATAATTCCACTGCCTTGATTTTTGTTATATAAAACATGTACATGTATTCAAGATGCAAATAAGTATTGAAATATTATGTAAAATGTTACGTCAACTTGATAAATTTGCTTATTAAATCTTTATTAACAGTTGTTGGACTAGCAAAAGACTGCAAAGCAAAAATAAACAATAAAAACACTATAATACGAGTTCCTCGTAGTTTATTTTTTAAACATTAAGAAACGACATTTTGGTACTGTAGCAAGAAATTGCACATGATTGTATAAAATTTGTTATACATTAAGTATTTAAATGTTTCAACACATTTACTTTTTGTATTAACTTGGTTAAGTTGAATAAAAGTATGAAAGAACTGAAGTGACAATTTACATCTACTGACATTATTTTAAAGAGTCTTCTATTGTCTAAATCTTCTAAACCATCAACTGATGTAAAACACAAAGATTTATATGACACTCAAACAGCAATTCTTTTTTGGGTTTGGTGGATTTTATTTTTTTGCATCGAGGCTCTGGTTTCATGATTTGAGATTCTGTATTTTTCATTTCTAGCAGCAGCTCGAAAGAAAATATTTCCCAGCTGATATCTTTGTTGAATGAAAAGCAGCCACAATTCAAATGATAATAGTCCTGTTTTTCTTTTTTTCCTTTTCTGTTTTTCAGTGAAACTTTTCCAGTTCCATCTACTTAACACTACCATTGATTAAATTAATAACTGTGACATAAAAACATACAGTATGTACATTATTCCCGACTAAAACTTGCTTAATGTAGAAAATACAAATTCAGGCACATTTTCATCTCTCCTCCTACACACTAACATTTCATAAAAGTTCCAGAATAAAGGAACAACTAATAATGGCCAATAATTTATTCAGATCAACCAATGCAACTTATGGAGATGCAAGTAATAGTATTTCTAGCATTTACATTCTTTCTCATATAAACATAACAAAGGTCCAATTTGCTTGGGGGGGGGGGGGTCGTTTTCTCCAGGAGACACTCAATGAGTATATAATTATGTAGTCATTGTTTCAATAATTGGACTGGAAACGAACTTTCATGCTTGATTTACAGAGCTCATTTTCCTCCAAATTTTTCGGGGGTGGGGGGGGGGGGGCTGCCCTGCAGTCTTATAATTACACCACTTATAACATTGATACTGCGTTATCAAATTGGTAAATTTATTTAGTGATACAATAACAGGTGAAAGCACTCCGTAACCTCAGCCAACCAGCCACATCAGGACTTTTCAAAAATCCTTTATAACAGTGGTATCCCAACCTCTACAGATGGGAAACGGACAAGAATTCTGTGTTGAAATGGACCACACTTTTCCGTGGGCAGAAAAAAGCAATTGTAGTCAAGTGCCTTGCCCAAGGACACACATCATTTCCAGACATGCCATGCTCACTTTGTACCGATGTTGACGCTGTGTCAGTCTTGCAGATGACAGCTCAACTGAGGCTTTTGCATGAGCTGTACTGCACAGAGCAGACATGATGGACATGCTTACGCTCGTCATTGCTGCATCAGTAGCTTCATATGGAACAGCGCCCCCTGGAGGTGACCGGTAATCACAAATCGGGCAACTGGCAGAATAGTGCTCTGAAATATAAGAAAAGTAAAACAAATACTTGCCAATACCATCTTTGGTGTTTTCTTAGAGAAAAGTACGAGATTGACCAAAGTGACTTGCCAAAAGACAAAGCACTAAATTGAAAGCTGGACTCGAACCCCTTACCATCCAATCACAAGTCATGTGCTCCAACCACAAAGTCAAGGTCTCTATTTTTTCAATACCAAAATTGAGTGCTCAATGAGTATAGAAATACAAAATTATATTGAAGTAATAAAACATCAATTTACCCTGAAAAGATAACTCCTCCTCTGTGAATAGATACTCAGTGAAACCTTAGAAAGGCCTGGCTTTGCACCTTCCGTGACCTCAATGACAACGATGGGTTGTAGAAGGTCCATATCCAAATCGAACGCTAGCTCGCTGTTTGGCGTGTATGTGCGGACCAGGGTGTGATAGCGATTCAGTCCTGTAGGTACCCTCAAGTGCACGTGGTAGGATTTCCCAATACCGAAGGCAGAGTTGTCCAACGGTTCAACGTGGTGTACAAAGCCCGTCCACTGTGGTCAAAAACAACAAACTTCAGTTACTCTTGTGATATCTGACCATCCAATCATGATTAAAAAAAGGAGCATTCGAATTGTTTTGCCATTGCTTCAACTTGATCAAGTTGATTTTTTGCAATTTATTGTGCAGTTGGGAGCAATATGAAAAATCTATCTATTTTAACACCACATCTGGCATTTTCATCAGCAAAGCAAGGAGAAATCTCAAATTATTTGACAAATAAAATTACAAATGATATACACAGATGTATAATTCAACCACAATGCAAATATTGATTTAATCATTACCTTTGGGTAATCAACTACTTCTTTCAAATATTTGAAGACGTCATCAGTGTTTCTTGCAACCACGGCACTTCGCTGGACAATTAGGGGATCGTAATCCAGCTCAAGTTGATACAACAGTGCTATAGCCGTGACGATTATCACTACGCCAACCTGTGTCAAACTGATGTCTGCCATTACCACAGATGATCGCAACAGAGTATCTGGAGAAAGACGAAAGGAACAAGGGAAGTTGTCCCCCAAAATATTAATTTTCACGAGGCTACTGAACCTGTATACAGGGTATAGCTGGCATGGCTGGCCAAGTATTCATATATGTAAGCATTTACGAAGGTAATTCATGTAATAAACAGTAAGTTTAGATACATAATAAAATTAATGTGACTTATGATTATGCTAATGCCTCCGAAATACCATGAAAATAATTAACTAATAAAGAGGCCCACCTCGAAAATACCGCTTCGTCGAGTCAATCATGAATCAACAAACAATGTTGGTACAGGGCGCCACCAATCGATACAGTTTGAGTGCAAAGGTTGAAAACCTTTTAACTTTCTAACAAATATTAAAATGATTTTTGGTAAAATTGACAAAATGTTGTCATCTTTGATTGATAGGAATATTTTGACGTGAAGACCATTAGTATCATTTGCATTTACTGACAAGGGAAAGTAGTTATGGTATAGGTTTCGAGTTTTAATTATTTTTTTTATTTTTCACTAATCTGAAGGGTTCACAATGGCGGCGCCCATGGACCAAGTAAACGAAACGTGCGCGATACGTGCGAATGCTGAACAGCAGTGCTTCATGTTTATCGTTTTGTATCGCCCTCGCTCGAGAGACGTTTGTTTCACCACTTTTGCCCTTTCGTCCAGAGTCTGTCAAAAATGGTATGAAAACCCTTTCTATGTCATTGTATGTGTTAAAACTTAGTAGGATTTTTAACTGCATTAATAATTTAATCCATCAAAAAAATCATGGACAAAATGTTGCAACCTGACGCCACTTCCTCGATTGTGTACAAAGTCTATGGAGAGTCAAGAAAATTTTCTAAATATTTCCTATCAAAATTGGAAATATTTCTGAGTGCCAGATTCATGTCGTTACATCATTATTGCAGTGAATGACCTTCATTGTGATGATATATGAAGAAAAAAGTGGCGTCAGGTTGCAACATTTTTTTGGTTAATCAGTTCGAAATCTTGATGATCAAAAAATGGTAAATAACCTAACTGTTTTGTTGAAATTGAAAAAATGCAATTATCCTCATTCTGGCACAGTGTCTGTAGTGTTCAAACCATCTGGTGTGAATTTGGGTACTTTTTACACTGTCAAATAGTGTCATGACTGTTTTCTGAATGAGGTGTAACTGTGATGTGAGTATGTTTTTTATTGCATCAGTTTTATCCAACTGAACACTTTTATTTTTGCAGCCTAAAGCAGGTAAAGGAAAAGCCCAGCGGGCCAAAATACTGCATCCTAACAGCCGTAAAGCCATGAAGGTCACGGGAACTGCTGTCAGGAAAGAAAGAGTTGAAAGGTAGTATGAACTATGATACTTCCTCTCATACTCATAGTTAGGCTTAATTTTTGTTGTGTCATTGAAGTTTTCTGTTTAATGGTAAAACTCTGTTAAGAATGTGTGGGTTTGTGTCATTTTTCATTTGAGATCTGCCATCAACTTACTCTCTAGTTGAATGCCATTACTTTAGAAAATGCTAACCATAAGAAAATCAATTCTACCATCAGAGTGCATCAGGAGACTTCCTTGAAGATGGGCCTTCTTGTTGATAAGCTGCTGTGGTTTCAGGAGCACGCAGACCCAGAGAAGACAGAATACACGCGAGTAGAGCTCTGCCAACTTGTTGAAGGGTAGGCAACCTTGGCATATCGAGAGTGGGGCGGGACACCCCCCAACTTCCCCGACACCCCCCCAACTTCCCCGACACCAACAAAATGTTGCTATATTTTTATGAATATCATAGCATCTCACAAACCTACTACACACACATGTAGTAGTATGTAATACCATCCTCTACTTATAACCCATTTTTATGAACGAAGGAAAAAAAGTTTGATTAAAAAAAAAAATAAAACCCATTTTGCACTCCCAATTTGGCAACCTGGAAACACTACTGACTTCTTCATAAAAGAGACTGACAGTCTTTCATCTACAACCCTTATTCTAGTACTTAACTATGTCACTATGCAAAGCTTTTAAATCATGATTTTGACCCTATCCTTATGGACACTTATGAGTGGGGATTCCAAATGGAAAATACTATTACAACCACTTTGATCCTTTGCATTTGGTTTATTGAAACTTTTGACATTTGCGTCATATCTGGTTTTGTTTTTGTTTTTTACAGCTACCTGCATCGGTTTGATGAGGAGTTGGAACAGATTGACATCATCCAGGGAATGAAGGCAAGAAAAGGACGGCAACATGCAGCGAGGGAAGACATCATTAAATCCACCATGAAGACGGAGCGAAACCTATTCAATACGTGTGGACTGGGTAGGTTTCTCTTGACAAAGGGCCTGAATTCAGGAAGAGATTCAGGGGAATCGATTTTTCCCGTGCCGAGTCTTTATAAGATTTTAGAACGTCTTGTAGATATTTTGATGCCATTTTAATAAAACTTTAAAATGTTCAACTTGGGCATCCAAAAAATAATTAATATTGGAGTAATGAGGACCATTCGGGTTAATTACCATAATTGCAAGACACTTTGTTCAATTGAGTTTAAACTTGTATTCCGCTCTTAATTAGAACACTTTTAGCAAACTTCATTACGAAAGCTGTTGTTTGTCGCATTGGTGCATGCTTTGGCTGAGAAATGTAGGCCTACTTCATTGTCAACATCTTTCTTAATTAATTTTTTTAACGAGATGAATATTGTCTTTCCTGTCCACAGAGGCACCCGATTTGGCCGACAAGAAAAACCTGGCTCGCTTCCTGGAGTGGGACGGCACGGCGAAACACGCGAGCCTGATCAAAATGAGGAAAGTGGTTGCCAGGAAAACTGGTGCCCAAACCACAGAGGGAAGTATTGCATCAAGAACGGACATGCAGCATGACGGAACGACATAGTGAAGGATAATTAGGTAATTTTATTTAATAAAAGCAACAAAAAAAACCAAGAAGAACAGGAAAATGTGTTTCATATTAACCATTTAATATCCAAATTTTACCAAATAAGCAAGAACATTATATAGCTTTTAAGAAAGTGAGCTTATTAAGTTTTTACAATATTTTTTTAAGGCAAAAGGAATACGTATTGATGTGATGCACATGTCAATTGTTGCTCCACCCCACCCCTCTTGACTTGCACTAAGGGGGAGGGGAGGGGTGACAACATGGGACAGGTGTCACATGTTACAGATAGTACCCATAAAAGGAATACACTGCCAAAGTTATAACACTTTAATAGAATACATAGGACACAAGACTCAAAATGAGACTCTAGCACATTAGACATCAGCCCTGCAATATGATACAAATACATATGTGGCCTGTGCAAATGTCTTGAGGTTAAGATGAATTTTGGGGGAACTCTAATTAAACCCATTACTTCAATTAACTATTTATACCCCAAATAAGATATTAGATTTGTCTAGTGTGCCCATAATTACATTATTTCCCTTAAATTCATTGTTAAAAATTAATACCAATTTGATGGTACTTTTTTTGATTAATGATCCCAAGAACTAAAAAATTGACCGTTTGTTTAGTTGTCTTATAATAACAGTGTTCAAATTCTGATGTAAAATAAACAAAAAAATAACAAAAACTGCTGACATTTTAGCCCAGTGTGAACAGATTGGTGTAAACATGGTTTTTTTTAGCATCCAAAACATCAACTTTTTAAAACCTGGCATTCTGCATGTCAACTATTTTCATAGCAATTTTTCTCCAACACTCCAGCTCCTCTTTTTTTAGGAATTCAACTAAACCACATTCTGTAGCTGCCATTCATGTTTTTTAAATTTTTTATTTATGGTCCGAAAAACCAGCACCTTAACTTGAAGAACCTGAAAGGGACTTGAAGTTAAAAACCCCAAACAATTACACATGTTATTCTTTACAACAAAAACCAAGTTTCCTTATTTACATATTAAACATGATCAGCATGATAAGAACAATTACCATTCACATGGCAATTTGTAGCAATGCTTTTTACAAGACCAACTTTTTCCCCCAACAGCCAGCATGGTTTTTTTTTTGTTAAAGAGAGTTCCTAATCCTATGAGGACCCAGGCCCAGGCTGCGTAGGAGAAAACTCTGCCCAGTGTTTTTTCCTGTTGAGCAAAGATTGGCTGGGAACCAATTATATATTGTTTACTTAGCAACAACATGTCTGTGCAAAATTGGTATGCTTTTGGAAAATTTGACACAAACTGAAAATTTACAAAAGCAACATGTCTTCACAGCTGGGACCATACCTAAGACATATCTCGCCCATTTTTTAAATTGAAAATCTCGGCTGAAAGATGTTTTGGACTTACGTAGTGGACAGAAAAGGACTTGCGGATTCCTTGCAGAAAAATGTATAAAAATATATATATACTTTTTAAAATTTAATTACATTAGAAACACCACAATGATATTAGTATGTACAAAAACTTCACTGACATCAAAATTTTACTGAAGTGAGTTCTAGCAAAATTTACAACAAGATTTTTTGCTTGACATAAACAGACCTAATCCCCCAGCTTCGATTAAAAAAAAATGTTTTGCTCGTTTCCGGGTTATGGAGTAATTCTGTTTGTTTCAGAGTGTCAATTTTTTTAAGTATTTAACTGACAATATATAAATGTATGCTTACCAAAAAAAAAGAGTTAAGCAAAAGTTGTTGCACTGATTATTCAAGCTTAATTCATCATCATTTCTTTTCAGTTAATACAAAAGCACCAGTCATATTCCATCCTGATATTGTTCTCTAAGTTGTTTGTAACAAAATCTACCAAAGACCTATTTTTATATATTTTTTAAAATATAGTTTCTAATCCTAATTATCCCCACAAAGCTTTTCACTTCAAAGTGTTATGTATAAAACATCAAGCATTCATCGTCGGCACGTGCTTAACAAAAATATGCACTACACCAAAAAGTAGGTGTCATAATTCAAAAACTGGAAGAGCAACCTTTTACAAACACTTTACAAAAACAGTTCAATTCTGCTTAAACACTTAACCCACTTCTTATCTTTGATTTTTTTCTGCCATTTATATTTTTTTCTTAATTATGTATAAACGCTAATGATACATTATTGGATTTTTTTTTTCTCCAACGATTTTCAACAATGGTTGAACCCACTGAATGCCCTTTGAAAGTTTAAGAAATTGTTAAAGTGGAGCCAAGTTTACCCAAACTATCCTGCGGTTCCAAAATTTCCTATTTTTTTTACTCCAAGAATGTTCCCTTGTTAGAGCCAGTTATACAATAATAAATTAGAGATACACGTATGTATAATAATTTTTACACAAAAAGAGAAAAAAAAATATTTGCCCAAAACAACACATAATAAAATTAAGGAGGTAAGCAAGGATGAATAAGATTAGAGAGAATTCTTTAATTCTCTGAGACTGTTGTCAAGCTTCTTTTGTTATTTAAGAGCGAGAAAGAGGGAGGCAGCAACGGAAAAGCCAAGGTCTGGTTTCTGCAATCCCTGCCACGTTGTTTCACTTCGGCATAATGTTGAGCCTGATGGCCACTGTCTAGGTCTTTGTCAATAACCGCAGTGCAGAAACATTTCAGGCACGGGTCTTAGAAACTGTCGTCCCAACCCGTGAGTTCATCAGGAGGAATCTCCAGATCTTTGCCGTAGGAGTCGAAATTACTGGCGTCGTCGGTGCTGTGCACCTGTCAGACAGATAAACCATCAGAAATTAATTTCTGTCCTTTATATAACTCGTAAGGCTGTGCAGTTTTGCAATTTTTTGATGCTGAATAATGTCCACAATGTTTTTTCAAGCATGTCATTTGCATGGTTTAATTATTTTGTCAATTGCCACATTTTTGTGGAAATACAATATTGTGGAAATATGCGTATCATTTGAGAGCTTCAATGAGGAATATAGGCTAAAATTTCTTCTGAACAATCGGTCACACATCAGCAATTCAGCTACGTCTGCTGTAGATTAATTCAGCAAGATCTTTGTCAATTTTTGACGACTGAAAAACCATTCAAATGTATACATATCCTGTTAAGACTAATAACTCAAGATCCTGTTGTACACATCCAAAGTTAACAATATACCTATTTTCACCGAGTAATTGACCAAACATGTGCATAGTCTAATACGTACCTTGGGCGTTATAGGTGGGACAATCTTTTGTTTCTGCAGGCCTTCCCAGTCAAACCCTTGGAACCACCTGTCATGGATAATTAATTAATCAATCAATCGAACATTAAACATCGCATCCAACATTATTATTATTATTACTTATAAGTTATATTAGGCTGACTAGCTTGATCCACAAGAAATAAATTCCAGGACACTGCCTTTGTGGCTCAAATTTCGTCGAATTATCTTTCCTCTTGAAGCTGCGATTGTGGCTGTTGACAACAGTGAGTGTATACCCTGCTAGTGTTACGCACTGCGTCCGCGTGCCGCGCGCTATGCTCTGTTGACTGGTTGACTGTGACTTTCTACTTTATAGATTGTGTGGGAACCAGCTAAATTGTCAGGATGACTGCAATATCAATAATATTGCAGTCATCTGGGTACTTTTTACGATTTTTTTTACGATTTTTTTTACCACTGTAAGCCTGATACAAATAATAAATACCATGGAGTGCTTAGGCGGTTTTGGCCACTACAGTGACTGAAGGAATTAAAAAAAACTTTGTGCCTTCCATCATTTGCCTCAACATAATGGCTTCTTGTTGCCAGCCTTGACCAAGTACTTCCAACGTGGCCTTAGGCCAAAAAAAAGTCTCCGGTTTCTGGTATGGAGCTTCCCCAAAAAGTAGTGCGGTGACGCGGCTTTTTTTTTTTTTTACCTGTCTTTTTTGCTTCAAATGTTGGCTGATGACTGCAAATGGTGCCCGACTAAACTTAGTGCAAATATATGGGATTCTAGAGAGGCCACATAAAGCTTATTCTCGATCATAACCCCATCTAAAAACACGTTACAATTGTGCAGCAGCAGGATTCCAGTCAAACCAGTGAGTTTGGCGGTTTTGAGACATCATCTTTCATTGAAAAAAAAACTTTTTCATTTTGCCGACGCGCATGGCTACGGTGACGCGCGCGCATACCAGAAACCGGAGACTTTTTTTTTTTGGCCTTACTTGTGTTTCTTGATGTCTAAGATGCCGTTCTTCTGATATCCAATCCTCTCGGCGGGATTGTCGCGGCACAGCTTCTTGATCAATGCAGATGCGTGACGCGAGACCTTCTTGGGAAACTCTACGATGTCGATACCCTTCAGGATGATGTTGTAGGTCTTCATTGGGTCGGCAGAAGTGAACGGTGGGCTGAAATAATAATAATAAAATATAACATGGGCTTGAATAGTGCTTTTTACAAATGTCTCAAACAATCGTTCAATGTTACGAATTTGTGACTGAAACTTCATCTTCCTTAAAGGGAATATACAACATTTGCAAACATCGAAAAATAAAACTACCAAGTTTTTGCGAAATACCTTAATAGGATGTTGGTAAATGGCAGTCTAAAGCATCCTGTAAAATTATGGCACCTGGTATACTGTCATTTTCACGAAAAGTGGTATTTTTGTATCAATTTCCAACGCTGATCGGCCGATCAGCGTTGGAAACAACTGGCTTTTTTTCAAATACTGGCCCCAATTGACCATTGCACTTGTTTGCAATCGATTACAAACCTATGAACGGGTACGAGCCAGCTAGACTGGTTCCCTGACCTTACAATTCCCCAATGTATGTAAACTGCTCTGTTTCTTCTTATATGGAGTCAGGGAACCAGACTACAGGAAAATGATCGTTTTTCTTGGTTTTTATAGCATTTTCGAACCCAAAACCTCCAAAAAGTCAGTGTAACTATATTTGCTTTATATTTCCAACCCCCCAATTCCATCCATTTCTGAAAATTACAGCAAAAGCAAATGATGTATATTCCCTTTAAAAGACAATGTAATAAATTATTTACAGTCAGCAGAATACAACACAGCGTTTCCCAAAACTCTAACTCCAACTTGAACAATCTGTCAATCTTCCTTCATTTAGTCTCTTCTTCTCCCCAAACCATTATTTTTGAATTAATTAATGTTTCATCAAGTTCTTTCCCAAAGCAATCATTATTTCCAAAGAAATTGTACACCTGCCCGCCAAAAGGCAATGGCACGAGATCACACTGGGATGGTTTCTGAACTCAATAATATAAGAAACGTCCACTGTGAATGAGCGGCACGATCTCAATCGAGAAAAGTGTCAAATGAATGAATGAATGAATGAACAATCTAATGAGATTTTGTATGAATTTGAGATCAAAATAAATTTTGTTAACACTATTTTTTACTCACTTGCCGGTGAGAAGCTCAAATATCAGGATTCCCAATGACCAGTAGTCAGCAGCATAGTCATGTCCTTTGTTTAGTATGATCTCTGGGGCGACGTACTCTGGTGTGCCACAGAATGTCCACGTCTTGCGACCAAAGCCAATGTGCTTGGCGAAGCCAAAGTCGACCTGTTAAATGACCAAAACATATTTACTTACTACGATTTGAAATTGTAGAGTGAGATTTCAATGTTTCATATGCTTTAGGTTAAATTTTTTTCCTACAAGTATTCAAAATTATTCCACAATTCAATTTTTTTGGAATATACAATCTTGGCGGCTTTCTATTGACGCAGATTTGTACCCCTGATGATGTCCGTGACTATGTAGAAAGAACCGTAAATGAATAAAAAGAAAAACAACACAAAGGTCAACTGCCCAGTGCATTGGCAATGAAAGTCAGAACACTATGTCCAAAAAAGAGTGACGTCTTGTTTTCATCAGAATACTTATTTTTTTTCCACATGTTTTTGTGTTAATAATTTTAAATGGCTAAAAGAATTGGTCTTACCATCTTGACGTTGCCTTTGGAATCAAGCAGCAGATTTTCTGGTTTGAGATCGCGATAAACAATCCCTTTACTGTGCAGGTAGGAGAAGGCCTCAATAACACACGCTATGCAGAAACGTGCTGTGTGGTCATCAAACGACCCTCTGACAATGAACAGAATAGAAATGGTTGCCAAATAACCAACTCAACTTCATCAAAAACGATTTTAGATTCAACCTGAGAAAGTCGCCTGAGCTTGTTTTGAACAGTGGGCCTATTTATTTTACATTAATCCAATATTCAAATCGGAAGGGAAGGGTTTCAAATAAAAGCAGTTTTTTTATAGTTATCACGTACAACCAACTGCAAAAGCACAAATATTATAATTTTGATATTAAAATCATCCCTTAACTGTTCCTGTGGCCTGATCCAGTAGCAGGGAGGTGTGTTTTGCCTTCCCCTTTTACTCAAATTATTTACGACCCCCTCTTTTCGCACCTGTCTCTGAGAATGGTCCAGAGTTCCCCTCCTAGGCACACCTCCATCAGCATGTACACGTACTTGCTGTCCCTGAACGTCTTGTATAATCTAGAAAAAAATGTTGGCGTTACACAAAAAAAATTACATATGAAGTGTATTTATAGCCCAAAGATCCAAGTCCATGAAATGGCATGGGTTCTTTTGACTCGTCTTCTTACAAACTATCTACATGTACTAACAAGCTCCATACAAAGAGGACAATTTTCCAACGGCACACCTTTCTGCTTTTGGCACTAATTATGCTGCTTGTATTTTAGAAGACCTAAAATTGTCAGTTTGAGAAAGAAAGGAATTTTAGGAGGACATCAGATCATCCATCATGTAATTCTGATCGTTAATAAAATTTGCATTTTATCTAGTGTGGTATTTAGTTAAATAAACAAATGCACACTTTAATTAAATTTTTGTTGATGAGTTGGGATCCCGAAACACAGAAAAAGAGTCCAAACGCATCAGTTTGAAACTGCGAACTCCCAAAATTGGACTCTGCAATTACACTGGGAATGGGATGGAAAATAATGGGAAAAAGTTTTAATCAAAACTGGCCAAAGATTGCAATTTTCACTTGGGACACATGGAAATGTCCGAGACCGAACAAAATTGCCAAGTGATTTGAAGGTCTTACTTTGCAATGAACGGGCAGTTTGCATTCATCATGATCTTCTTCTCGGAGTAGATATGCTCTTGTTGTCTCGTTTCAACAATGTGATATTTCTTGAGACACTTGAGGGCAAAGGTCCTCTTGTCTCCTGCGACTCCAACCTACAAATGAATTCGCACCAAAATAACATAAGTGTTAGTTTGCAATTCTTTACTGGCATCTATCTGCAGGGATGGTATAACTTTGGAAATTTTTGACAGTATTTTTTCTGAGCTCAGGTTTTTTTTTTTTTGCGGGATACTCACCAGTTCTACCCTGCCAAATCCGCCGATTCCAAGTGTGGCGATGATGTCTAGATCATCCAACTCAATGTTGCTGAACTTGTCCTTGAGACTCTGCCTTTGGGTATCCGGCTCCGAAGAGTTGCTTGATCTTACAACAAAACAAGGGGGAAAAAGGAAAGTTAGGCAAGTTTATAGACCTCTTTTTGCTGAAAATGTTCTCTTTCATCATAAATGACAAGAATCAACACTTGCAAGTTAAACAGAAATGTCATCACTCGTGTTCTGTTCTTGTGAGTCAGTAAGCTGGAAAAAATTGTAAACTAATTATTAAACTTAAAAGATACGATTCAGCAATTATTACTGTTATTTAAGGTAAGTTATGTGTTAAGAGTTCACAGAGTGGTGCTGCAAAGTAAATCAACAACAGAAATTGAGATGATCAAGTGATTTCTGTCAGCTTCATTTGTCCATTGTTTGTTCTTGGTGCATGAAAATTCTTCAACTAAACAGACTTGTGCAACTAAAGATCACACAGCTTAATTTTTTTGGGGTTTGAGGATGATCTTGATGATGACAATAAGACATAATTTGCTGACCACAGTGACTTAAAAAGCAAAAGCCTTTCAAATAAGTTTATTTCAGCATTTACACAAATGTAAGTATTTGGTGCTGGTCATCACCTCACAGAGCTCCACAGTCCACACTAGCTCATCGGAGAGTGTAAAGAAACAGTGCAGGATAGATACAAATACTTGAAGATGTCTTCAGAGCAGGGGTCATTTTGTGTTTATAGTAATATGGATCTCAAGTAATATTTCAGTTGAATTTTGTATAACCACTGTAAAAATGTAATAAAGTCTGTAAAAATGTAACAAAGTATCATTTCCGGGATGATTTTTGTTTCATTTACCAGGGACTTTTTATGATGGATTTTAAACCTTTTTGGCAGTTATTGTGTCAAACCAACAGTACCTTTGAATCCAAGAATTAGCATATCCTAGAATTAATATTAAGATTAGCAATGCATAATAGAATAAATAATTTATATTGTATTAGGATGTTGCGTGGGGTGATGTGTTGATGATGTTTTTGATGTTCTGTCGACCCAAGTGGATGCTTGAGACGAGCGCGATAACGCACACGCCACACATCACGACTGTTCATGCAGCTAGCGAGCTCGTCCATTGTCTCAACCCCTGCATCATCCATCATCAACCTCACTATTGTCTTCATAGGCCTCCCTCTGCTTGGTTGGGGTGTTGTATAATACAGGATTGATTGATCTATTTTGCTGTGACATAGTTGAAATATAATATACCATACACGTAGAAGCACATTTTAATTATCTTACTTCTAAAGGACAGTGACCAATTATACATTAAGTCAGGGGATGTGTATACAAATGGGAAAACAACTTCTGCCCGTACAGTATCCAACAGAAAGCATCATCTGTCATGTCAGTAAATACACAACAAGGATAGCCTCTTCGCACGTTGTTAAAACGTGATTTCCAAGATCCAGCAGACATGCCTATTCCACTGTGTATTTTTTACTCCAGTCATGATGTATGGATGCACTCAAACCACCCATTCGCATTACACTGATTGGCATTTTGTGAGGTTTTTTTTTCAGTGAATCATTGGAAGCAGATTTGATTTATTGCGCCATTACTGCACGGACTACTTATTGAGGGGGGGGGGGGGAGGGGGGCATTACAGTTGCGGGACTGATTAAACAAGTCACACGACTGCACTTTAATGATTTCCCTTGAGCGGTGGCCATTTTGTGACGCAAGTGCAGACTGCTGAATCATTCAATGATTTCTGTCTACAGTCCATCGTTGTTACTGTTATCAGCAAAGCGAGGAATTTTTAAGATGCAAAACATTTGCTCAGACAAGACAGACAGATGACTTCTTCATAGAAACTGATCATGTGCTCGCGTGTAGATAGGACAACATCAAAATAATGATTCATTTCTCTTTCAATTAAGTTTATAAAATATACATGATGTTCCAATTTGTTGATTCATTTTCTTTTTCTTCTAGTTTGTGCATAATGTTTTGCTGAAAGGTTTGGTGGATTTTATCGGTTTTGTCAATAAAATTCCCTTTCCTTTTCAGTAATTGGAGGTACATCTTGTTATCGAAGATCTGATAAAAACAAAGAATTGAGTTATTAGTAGTATGCAAATTCATTGAAAACAAAAGGGTGATTGTTATCTGATTGAGAGTTTTCTTCAGAGGAGACAGGAAGTACACTGTACTCAAAATGATAGGCGCCCTCGTGTGGTTTCAAGGAGGCGGCGGCAGGCAAATTGTATGTGTTCTAATCCTGTGTGGATCAGAGGCCTTCTTTCAAGAATTGCAGAGGGGCCATGATAGGGTTTCAAGGAGAAGTCGATTAAAAACAATGCAAAGGCAGCACAGCCTATTGCTACAGACATTGTGTAGAAAAGTACCATCACTGCCACTATTTGATGGCAGGTGGCCTTGTTTAGGTTTATTAATCAAGATAACATTATTAATATGGACATCTAATCTCAGAGAGTTAGAGAATAAATCACCATTAATTACAATTTTGTTCCAATAATATATATGCAAATGAACCCAAACTGTGAGATTTCCGATAATTTGTGTTTTAATTCGGATCAATGTTGTTGGGTTATTAATTATTCTGAAATGTAAACATGATCTGATCAAGAACACAGACCATGTCACTCCTTTCCCCCCAAATTTCAGCTAGAAAGCAAACCACACTATATTCTACACTGCACGAGCAATTGAAGCATGACTGGGATTAAAAATGTTGATATATTACACATCAGAAAAACACTTGGGTATTTTGTTCTGCTCGTCGCCAAACGACAGAAATGACGTCACCGTTTCAAGGGTCTATACTTAACGACGCACATGACATGTTTGTAAGTAAAATATTGTATTAGTACATTAGATAAGAACATAAGAAATATCCTTTTGTCACGAGGTTAGTGAAACGTTAGCACAGAGTTTCTTGATTCAAAATCGTGCTCGGCTCAGATGCTAGTAAGATGCCACAAAAAACGGTGAATTAATTATGGTTGTCGTGGCAACTGCCACACAGACAATTTGTAAAGAAAACTCACTTCGTAATGTTGGAGTTATTGTCTGGCCCTCCTTGTGAATTCCTGTATCTGTAGAATTGTTGTGGTCACAGGCAACGTGGGATTTCATTCAGTTAAGACAGCAGGAGAAATACACAAGTGAAATGCTTTTTCTTGCTCTACTTATTAACCTCGATGGCTGACTACCCACGAGAATTCATAACCTAACATGCGTGATCTTGTTAAACTCACTTCAAATTTTACGAATATGTTTTCAGTGAGATTTGGATACAAGTGTCTCACAGAAATATGATATATTTCTATAAAATGGATCGGGGGGGGGGGGGGGGAGTAAGTGGAAATTGTGTACATGTGTACGAAAGAACAAAAAAAAAGCAGCTATACTTACGAAACGATGCAAGAAAAAAATAGAACAACCCTGCTCCCCCAAACAAAAAATAAACAGCAGCAGCAACAAAATATAAGCTATAAAAGAGTAAATAAAGAACTCCCTTCAAGTCATTATATGCCAGTAGCATGATCACGAAAAGCAAAGTACTGCCGCAGAAAAGGATGAAACAATAACAAAAGAAGAACAAAATTAGGACTGTTTCTCATAATTTACATTCTTCACTGGAATCGCAAAAAGATTGTGCCCAAAAAAAGAAACCTAAAATTGTGCATACTTCAAATTGTGTACTGAAGTTAAAAAGCTCATGGAGAAAATTTGGTAAGAGTTATCATGCATGACTGTAGTGACCGTGCACGGAACAATCCCTATCACTAAGGAAACTTGTAAATAAACATTTATTGAAGAAAACATGGGGGGCAAAAATGGCATATACCTTGCGGCACCTCTCTCTTGATCCCCATAGTCCTTGTTTTGTAGTTCTTGTAGGTTACCGATCAACTCATTGAAAACTCTGGAACCAAAAAAATGACGTAACGCATTGAAACAAAATGGCACCACAAGTCACCACACTATGTTGAAACAGCTCAAAAAGAATTCACCACGAAGCTTTTGGGTTTATTCAGAAAACTTCACTGAGCGGAACATGGTACAGAACACTTCAGAAAAACATTATTCAAAAGCCACTTTCCTATCAAATAATAATGGGTTACATTTTTATACAAGCTTCAATAGGACAGTTGACTACTCAAACGAAAACTGCCAGTAGATGTCTACAACACAGGATAGGCTGATTCTATGGATAATAAAAGTACTATGCATGGCCACGTTTTAGATCCCCTTTATGAGCAGTTTCGGTTGTGAACAGTTTGCTCAATTAAAAATAGTATATTAAATTGGATGTGTTCTTTTCCCCGCTCCATTTGGATGGATCCAGAACACAATTTTTTTTGGGGGGGGGGGCCAAAAAAAATGTTTGGTCCCCCAAAAAGTGGGTCCAAAAAATTATGGCGTGGGGTTCGGGGCCCACTTTTGAAAGAGCCCTGAAAAATGTTTGGATTCTAGATGCTCTGTGGTGCGATCTGAGGCAATTTCTGACCACTTTGACCAATCCTTTTTTGCATTACGTAGTGCCTGCCTTTATAGCGACGTCACTTTAAAAAAAAAATTGGGTTCGTTTTTTTTGGGGGGGGGGATGGACCCCCCTGGATCCGCCGGGGGGGGGGGGGTGTCTTGGAAATTCAAGCCCATTCCCCAACCCAGCTCACTCTACAACTAATCCCCTTCCCCTCCTACTTCCACCAAAACCCTCCCCCAATGTGACCATGGAAGATTAATGCAATTAGATTCTTCTCGTGTATACTCACATCCTATCCATGACGAGAACCTCGCATCCTTCTGTTCCGGCAATGACATTTGCCGTCCGTACATCTTCACTGAAAGAGGAGATATATAACAAAACATTAAAGAATAAACCTCAGGCAAAGAGGCAAAGAGGCAAAAAGGCAGAAAGGCAGAAAGGCAGAAAGGCAGAAAGGCAGAAAGGCAAAAAGGTAAAAAGGCAAAATACAGAAAGGCAGAAGGTAAAAGCACAAGAGCAAAAAGCAAGCAAAATGCAAAGGCAAGAGGCAAAAGGTAAAAAGGCAAAAAAGGCAAAAAAAGGCACAAATCAGAAAGCCAGAAGGCAAAAATGCATAAAGGCAAAAGGCATAGAGGCAAAAATGCAGAAAGGCAAAAAGGGAAAAAAGGCAAAATGGAAAAAGGCACAAAACAAAAGAGCAAAAAACCACAATCAACAAATATCAAAGTCCTTGGTGCAATTTCATAGAGCAGCTCATTATTACAGCAATCTGCTTAGTGCTTTGAGCTTTGTTGAGCAAGAACACATTAAGCGCAATTTGTCATACAATACTTTTGACTCAACTCAGCTGATATTTGTTGAGCACATTAATTTGCTTGGCAATAAGCAGTTCCATCCATGCTTACCTTAGTAGGGCCTTCTCCCCAAAGTAATCCCCTTTTACTAACTGTCTCACTTCCTGTGGTTCATCCTGACCCGTAACAGACTGAGTAATCCTCACCTGTAGATAAAACAAAAACTACAGTCAGAATCTTGGCAAAAATATGCTTGAAGATGTTGGTGTTTGTATTGTTCTTCACTAATATCAAAAGTCTTCTCAAAACTTACACCAAAACTTTAATTCATTTCTGGATGAGATGGGGTTGGGTAGTACACTTCAGTACTAGAATGTGACCTGCTCATGTGCATGGTTGAATTAAAACATTCTCTGCAAATGCCATGGCTGGGAATCGAACAATTCAGTCTTTAATTTGTTTGTTTCATTGCCTCATTAATCAGGTGTAGGAGTAAACCCATAATCTTTGACTAAAAACCAAAAAAAAAACAAAAACAAAGAAGTTTATGATCATTAACCGTATAATATTGTAAATCATGTTCTCCTCCCATTTAGCACAGTTGCAAAGTCTGTTTACTTCAAGTATAGAACGGTATCTTCCAGAAAACAAAACAACATTTAAATTTCTCTGGATAATATCAACATGCTCACAACCTTCTGATTACAAAATAATATTAACTCAATGATCTTCAAACACACACATAAACAGTAACTTAGTAAGGCTGTGTCCATAACAAAGATCACTAATGAATGGCCTTTTGCAAATTTTCCTTGTATCAGGCATTAGTTTTCCTTTACTTTTTCTTTTCTCTCTTTGTCAACTGACTAGAGATGCTCATTAAGCACACATTTTTACTTGATGGTACAAGTATGTTTTTAAGAACCCATTCATGACACATCTTGCTATTGTGTATCATCAAGCTTCTGTCAAAGCCTTCTTCCAAGCCTTTGTCGAAGCCTCAATAGTGCATTCATCATGGTCAACAAACATGAGCTTCACAAACTAAAGTAAAATAACACCCCAAAATTCAAATGAACCAATCAAGCATGATTGCCGAAGGGCAGTCCCAACCAAAACTTTCCAAGAATGTGAGATCTTTCTTAGGAGTCATCTGATTGATGGCCGGAACAAGTTACAGTCATGTTTATCTGCAAAATGACAACATGTATTGGGTATTGCTTGCCGGATTTTGAACAACCTTGCCAGAGTCTTCAAACAATGAAGTTATCAGCATTGTTTACAAACAGATAACTTCATCGCATGAATACCTGATACAATGGGTCTGTTGTGGATTAACTTGTCCGTAGCTTAATATTCTGGATATTTTATGAAATGGCTCCTTAGAATCTCAGAAACCTCATTCAGAAACTCAGTATCTGTAAAAGGAAAATGGAAGGGGCATTGCTAGGAAGGAGGGGGCACCAATGGAGGAGCAACACCTACCGATCCCTTGCTGATGATGTAGAAAGTGTCGCCCCTTGTACCCTCGCGGACGATGTACTCTCCTTCCAGGAAGAAGTCTACTTCAAGACTCTCAGCAAGCTTGAACAAGTTGGATGCTGACAGCGCCTTCATTATTTGTACACTGGGGAGAAAATAACAAAAAAAACAAAGGTAACAAAAAAGTTGTGTGGAGACATAGGGTAAAAATGGAACTTAGAGGGAAAATTGAGAGGCAATCTAAATCTGTAATCCCTGGGATGTCGTGCCATGTACCAACGAAATAATCAAACCTTGTCGATGTTTCTTCTTACAAGCTCAGCTTTGTGCATCTCCTTAACCTTAAACTTGTGACCTGACTTGAAACAGAGGGACTTGTGATTGTCTTATGATGGTTTGTGATTGACTTGCGATCCATTTGTGATTGTCTTGTGATTGTCTTGTGATATTCTTGTGATCGATTTGTGAGGACTTAAGCGTCAACTCTTTTAACAGCTGCCAGAATATAAAATGTAACTGTAAAGACTTGGTCTTGGAAACTGGGCAACTCATCCAAACTCCTAGACGATTTAAGACAGCTGCATCCTACCTCTTGAGAAACTGCAGATGCTCATCGTGCCTCTGCATGGCAGTCTTCATCATAATGACTTGGAACACTGTCCGGTCTATGGCCCATATCTTGGCATCTGTCACAGCTGATAATTAAAAAAAAAACCAGAATAAAAAATCAGCACATATCTTAACTTTTGTCAGGACTCTACTGCTCAGTCAAAAATTTCAAAATTCTATCCATCCTTGAAAATCCTATCTCTCAGTCTGACGTGAGCTTTGACCTCAAGGGCTTCTAAACAACTAACAGCTTACAATGTACACATTTTCTTACAGCCAACGGCTTCTCCTTTCAATATTGTAAATTTTAAACTTTGGAAAAATGTCAGTAGTTGCAGATTTACAACTCTGAAAAAGAAGTTGAGTTGGGGGGTGGGGGAGGCTAGTAAAAATTAACTTATAAATTACCTGTGACTGTAGCTGTCCTTGTGCAATTGTAGAGAATGGCAAGTTCTCCAAACACCTTTCCTCGTCCCATCTTACCCAGGACCTTGTCGGCTTTACTGACCTCCAGATTCCCATCTACAAACGTTAACAGCAAGAAACAGACTTTTATTATTTTTTGCCCTAAAAAAGAACCAATGAGAAAACTTGAAAGTAAAAATCACACTGACAAAAGTGGAAGGATAAACACAAGCATATATAGAAATCAACACATTTTTTATTTCGTCTTGTTTGATAATCATATTGCTTGATAGTTATTGTAGATTTTTATACAAGCTTCCAAATATTCCTCTTCATATATTAATTTTTTTTCTAAGGCTCTCTAACTTTTTGATTCTTCTTTTTTTCCCTGCTAGAATTGCCAACCAAAAGGCCAAGGGCCACTCAATGTGGTGACTACTACAACAAATCATAAAGAAGCAAAAGTCAAAGAGAAGGAATCTGTTGATATTTCTTCTGAACTTGATCTGCAACCAAAAGAACAATGACAGATAATACAAAAAATATTAAAATCTACAGTTTTAAAGAAAAAAACTACTGATTAGAGCACCCTCGACTGGTCAGCCACGAAGCCATTGAGTGACTTGATTACCTCCAGCGACATAGAAGTGTGCCCCTGCATCGCCCTCTCTGATAACCAGCTGGCCCGCCTTGTACTCCATAGGGTACATACACTCCACGATCTCTTTAACCTGGGTGGCGTCAAAGTTCTTGGTGAAGTCATTGTTCAAGATGGCACTCTTGATCAACTGTCTGGAACTGCAAGTGAAAAAATACAAAGTTTCTGAATTTTACTTTTCTGAACTAATAGTTTCATTTCTTAATGAAGCACATGGAAAACAAACATATATTCATTAAATCCATTTGAACTATAACAGCATTAGTATTTTGATTCCAATCCTACATAAAATAACACCTTTTTCACTTTTCTGCCATTTTGTCATCATTTCAACAGGAACAGTTCTTATCATTTCTTTTATAAAGTTATCCTCTTGGCATATTTTCTAAAGTCAAGAATTTTTAATTGAAGTATCATTCCTTCCCAGACGAAAGATAAAATCTGAATTGTGCTGAATTAATAAATAATAAAAACTGTTTTAGCTTTGGGCTTTTGCTAGATTCACAAAGATTCACACTTTGCTGTTGTGACGTTGTATCATATTGGGTTCTGTTAGATTCAAAAACTCAATAATATCCTTGCAGTTCTAAAAAAGAACTATAAAATATTCATTATCGTTGTGACAGACATGCTGAAGTGCTTGGTTTCTTGAATACAGATTGAAAAGAATCAAACAAGGGATGATGCATTTTTATCCAGCATCGATCATCAAAAAAGAAAGACTACATGTATGCAAACAAACCAAAATGAGCAAATATTTGCCATTAAAGGTTTTATTTACTTTGTTTAATTTAAGCGATACATAAGTTCAATATCTCGGACAAAAATGCAAATAATATTGGGCATTTACAAACGCTTCACTATGTAAATAGTCAGATTAAGGTATGAGCACATTGTCGAACCAAACAAGATTTTGAAAATATTTTCGATGATTTTCTTTATATTTTCCCGACCGTTTTGCTATGTTTATATTTCAATGTTTTGTTCAAGACCTAAATAAAGCCAAGCTGTCGCCGTAACTGCCGATTCCCGACTAAGGTTTGAAGTAGCTTATTCCAACAACCAAAATGTCAAATTAATTAACTTGAAATGCTTTTCAGCACTAGTTTTATCACCGACAGGAAATATGTCAACAACACCCAGGGCCCGTCCCGGACACACACACCAGCACACACAACGGATTCCGCTCAACACTTCATTTTGTCCTGTTTCAGAGTCCCGTTGCTAGGAGACCCGTCTTCCGTCCCACTCCATCCTGGCTCCCTATGCAATTCGCGGAGTGCCGTCAATTTAATTGGGACTTGCTCATTCAGACGCGCGCACTCGTTTTTTGCGTGTGGAAATTTGATTAAAATGGTTCTTCGTATGGGAAAGGAGTCATCTGGAAGGGGGAACTTACACAACAAACAAAATACCTTTTAGTAGTCCTTCCCCTTAACACTTTAAATAGAGAATTTAGTCTCAGACGGTGTAATATTAAAAACAAGTTACCACAAGCTGAAACGACATTAATTATATAACTCGTCTGTTTGTTTTTGTAATCTGATCCGACTAAATTAATCAGTACCCCAATACGTAACAAGATATGAAACATGCATATGCTTTCTAGTCATGTCATAGGAGGAAGAATTCCGGTTCCGATCGTACAAAGTTACCAATTAACGATATTTATAAATTTAATCTTTAAGACGTGTCCTTCGATACATACTGCTTCCTACTAGTTAATTGTATGAGAAAACTGGAAAAAAATAACTTGTATATGAGAAAACTGAAAACCTGAAATTTCAACTTCGCATCGTTCAGTAGATTAGGGGATCTCATTTATACATTTTATCGTATTTTTCCTGAAATGGAGATATGCGATTCCCTTTTTCTAATTTGGGCTTTTGGTATGTAAATAAAATATTGAGATGCAGATGGTGTGACGACAAACAGATTGGGTCTCATCCAAGGGCGGATCCAGGGGGGGGGGGCCAAAGGGGGCCATGGCCCCCCCAAAACGAAACCAATTTTTTTTTTTTTTAATGTGACATCGCAATAAAGGTAGGCAATGAGTACACCACCATCTTTTCCTCAAAAAAAAAATTGGTTAAAGTGGTCAGAAATTGCCTCAGATCGCACCACAGAGCATCTAAAATCCAAAAAATTTTCGGGGCCCTCACGGGCCCCGAACCCACGCCGTAATTTTTTAGACCCACTTTTTTGGGGGGGACCAAATTTTTTTTGGCCCCCCCAAAAATTGTGTTCTGGATCCGCCCTTGGTCTCATCAAAAATAATCCAAAGCCTTTAATCCGAAAACAAATGGAATGGAGCCTTTTAACAGTGAGCTTCAAAGTTCTGCGCGGCTTTTGTTTGACCCACGTACGGTACGTACCCGCTTAAAAAATGTTCGCGGCAGATATTTCGATACCAAAGTCACGTACATTTCTTCGAAAATTCAATCATCCTTTTATTTGGATCGTTTCCGACACGTGTATGGCGTATGCCCCTGAACTATTCAAACCTGCTGGCATTGTTGGTTTTGGAACAGCTTAGGTACAATATTACCTCAAAGTTTGTTTACATGGTAACTGTGGTATCTTTTAAGCATATTCCGTGAACCGTTTCGTAGGCATATTTGTGTCAAGTACGCATCATCAGCCTTTTGTACGCGCTATAAAGGCAGTCAAAAACCGTACGACGTATTGAAACATTCAAGAGCATACGTAGGCCTACTAGCAGTCGGGATAGGCCTGCGGTTGGACGATACATCCAAACCAAATTACAAAACTAATTTTGAAAATTGCATCCAAAATTTCACAATATGGACATCTCTGGTCGATTAACTTATATGGAGGTTTTATATCCTCAGCTATAGGCTTTGAAGTAGCAGCTGAATAAAACGCATGACGCGCCACTATACCAGCAACATGAAAAAACCTATGAACGTGAAAAAACCTATTTGAACAGTTTTGATTACTCAGTATGTACATAAAACCAGAGAGGTCCGAGGCTGTCATATCCAGCAATATTTTGAGAAAAGATGGTACATGCATGCATTAGGAATATGACACAAAGCAATTACAAGCGCCACTATACCAGCAACATTCGTGAAAAAAACCTATTTGAACAGTTTTGATTACTCAGTATGTACATAAAACCAGAGAGGTCCGAAGCTGTCATATCCAGCAATATTTTGAGAAAAGAACTTGTATTTGAAGTGGAGGTCCTTATAAGCGTGCATGATGACGACAGGAACTGGCAAGTCGCGCATGAATTACAAATGCTTATATTTTTTATAAAGCTACATGTATATATTTTTGGTATAAAATGCAGTACCTGCATTTTCTACAATTTTTTTATTATTTACTTTTGCGCCAGAGCATCAGTAAATGTCTTCACTGATGTACTTTATGATGCCCTGAGATCCTACAATTATTAAGGGGAAAGCTTGGAAATTTGTCTTTTAGTAAAATGAACGTTAATGGAAATGTTGTGACATGTCAATGCGAAAACTCGAGGCATAACGGAGATAAATCAGAGGGCGTTCACGGCCACCGTAATGGTTCCGGGTCTTGCAATATATAAGGATACTTAAGGCCCCCCAAAAAAGTCTCCGGTTTCTGGTATGCGCGCGCGTCGCCGTAGCCATGCGCGTCGGCAAAATGAAAAAGGTTTTTTTTCAATACAAGATGATGTTTCAAAACCGCCAAACTCACTGGTTTGACTGGAATTCTGCTGCTGCACAATTTTAACGTGTTTTTAGATGGGGTTATGATCGAGAATAAGATTTATGTGGCCTCTCTGGACTCCCATATATTTGCACTAAGTTTAGTCGGGCACCATTTGCAGTCATCAGCCGACATTTGAAGCAAAAAAAAAAAAAAAAACAGGTAAAAAAAAAAAAAAAAGCCGCGTCGCCGCACCACTTTTGGGGCAAGCTCCATACCAGAAACCGGAGACTTTTTTTTTTTGGCCTAAAGAAGTAATGTTGGAAATTTGGAAAACGGAACATTACTGAAATGAGAAAAACAGGAAAAGAAAAAATACGATGACTGATCGGCAGAAAGGTATTCAATTTAAGGAGCCGGTTTCAAAGCGTGTTTTCCCCTTTCAAATTTTGTGGCCGCGTGCCAAAAGAATAATTTACCTCCTCTGTTCACGAACGGCAATTACGAACTCCATTATCTCTGTCAACCGTAATTTACACAGTAGGGCCTAGGCCTATGTTAAAATCAATAACGAAGGATCAAGGAAACAGACAATTTCAAATCGTTCTCGCACATTAATTAATGGGGGGAAAAGAGTTAAAGGTACAGACTATAGTAATTTGGAGAAAAAAGCTGATGACAACAATGAGAACAATTTGTTGCCGAGAAACATAATTGTTCATCAATCATTCTCTGAAACAATCGATGACTGCAGGAAGCGTAACAATAATTTTTACATCAGACATAATTTCGTAATCGATCTCGCAAATATCGGGGAAGTAAATTAAAGGTACTTGTAAAAAGTTGTTTTCATCGTACTGATCATCGTTACTAACCCAACAGCTTCAAATTGACGGTAAACGTACATTCCCTTTAATTCTGTCTAATAGGCCTAATGTTCAACCATTCGCTAAAGACCGGAGATAGATAGATCCAATTTGAAACATATGTTGTGCTTTGCTTTAAAATAGATACACGGCGATGCAACCCCTTTAACTTCATAATGATGTGTTCGCGTCATTTTAATGGAGTAGTCTAATGCTATACACTGTACTCTTCAAAGGGCCCAATTCCTCGGTGACAGCTCTGCCTATCGGTTAGAGGAACAGTTGTGCACTCTACCAAAAAGTGTCTATACCGTATTTCTCAAATGGTGTAATCACATTAAGCGTACATATTTCGTGACGTATAGACGTGTTAACGTGAATGCGTCCGTAGATTTCTACTGCATGCGTATGGAGGAATGCGTATACTGTCCAAGGCCTGTTTGAAAATAAATCTCGTGCTTAGCGTCATGAATTGAAATGAGGTGCTCGTGTCCCGGGTGATTTCCGTTCATATCAACAAAAAATAGTCCAACTCAGATCATCTGATGATTCAAATTCTGACGCTAATGAGCTAATAAATCTTGGTGATTGAAAAATGCCAGATGGGAAGGCCACAATGTGCGTACTTCAGCTATAATTATATCTTGAAGTACACTGAAATATTCCATTCAGTGCAGATAATTATGACAAAACAAGAAAAAGTAAAGCTACAAGAAAAAGTATGTAAAACTTATTCACGAGGAGGCCATTTTCGATCGTGTTCCCTGAATCTATTTTATAAATTGTAAATTGTTGAACGGGATGGTGCCAGACTATTTTATGAATGGAGTGCATGCCAAGCCTCACTTTCAATTTTAATATTTTATGAAATGGCTTAAAAACATCAGGATATACGTTAAATCACAAATTTGAAATTATTCATAAGAGCAGACTGGTATTAATTTGTAATGAACGTTTATTTCATTGCTTTCATTTCTACTCGCAATCTCCAAAATTGAAGAGTTTACCTCGATTTCAATTGAATATGGCCGACTCTTTATATAATAAGCAGAAGCACCTTTAATCATGTTCGCAGCACTTGAGCATGAGGCACAGCCCATTAGTTACCGCCGATATCAAGACGATGATCGACATGAGTAGTTTAGTCTGCATGGCTGCAGGTGATGTGCTTCACGATGTCATTTAAAAATGATGATTCGGTCTCTAAGGGCCAATGCAATAAGAACATTTACCGCTGCATGATTCGCGCGACATGGCGATTGTGTGGGACTACGCATGAGAATCCTTCATTGTTGCTCGGCGCTCCTTTTTTTGTCTTGAAATGAAAAGGGTTGTCTTTCTCGGCACAGGCAAAGGAGCCGAATGCTGTATTGGTTGTGAAATAAGGAACGACATGATGGAGTATTTTATCAAATCAGAAATGGATGAGTTTTGCTGTACTCAGAGGGCCAGTCCTCTTTGTACATGTTTAACTAACTAACCTACTAACTGACTGACTGACTGACCGACTGACCGACCGACCGACCGACCCCGATCGACACCGACCGACACCGACCGACTCACTTGTTTATGCATCAATGTCTTGCAATGTTTTCATTAAGCAGAAGTGCTATCCACGCTTTTTAGAGACGGTGCCAAAAGATTGACACATCTGTGCAACACTAAGCCCAGTGATTTGTCTTTCAATCAAGGGAAATCTGTGGCCGGAAACTCAAAAATTAGTGACCAGGCAAATATCACAAAAGAAATCATCAACGACCCCCAAGTCGTACGCTTTAGCCTACATGACTCACCGCAAAATAGTGCTGATTAGTGTTGCTAATGATACACGCCCTATATAGAGTGAATACAAGATGTCCCTCCAAATGAAAGATGTATATTCTTAGAAATATTTCCCCCATCTCATTTTGCAGATAGGAAAAGTATTAACAACAGCTGGGTTTGTAATTATCGAATCGAATTGCCTTTTTTTTTGTGCTGAATGTCAAAGTGAAACCGGACTTGTTAGGTGGGGATGCATATATAGGGAAATACAAATTTTGCCAAAAAACGTTTCACCGTATATGCAACTGTGTTTCTACATTTCAATCCCAATTTTCTGTCGACATTTCTTCATTAACATGCTTGTCACCAGTTTATTCTTATCACCAAAAGCAAATTTTTCTTACCAGGGTGCCTTAAAAACAGAGAAAAATACCTCGCTATTGAGTTATGCATAGAGAAAAGAACTGACAACTGATGACTGACTCCCCGAGTATTAACTGAGAAGTTCAGGTCTAGCTCGACTGGGCAAGCACGGGCTTGTTTACATTATCCATTATCTGCCCTTTGCTGTATGAGTTATGTTAGTGAGCAATAGGAAGACTATTACATGCCATCCAATAACGTGCCATATTGACAGGTCTAGTCTGGATGGCGGGCCGGTCCATTTAGCGTTTGACGTTTTTAACGTTCAGAATATCGACCAGTAACCCTCCTGACATAGCCCAACCTGGAGTACACTTTGAAGGCTATCCGATATTGTACGCTACATGTGCAGAGCAAACAGTCCCGTTCCTCATAATTTTTTTCTCCTCTTCAAACGATTGCTATACAAGATAAAAAGAATGTCACTTTAATTCACCATCTTCTGATTCAAGGTGGAATTTAGCAGTAACAGTCTCGGGACTTTATATCAAGCGCACTGTAGAGAAAGATCACATATTAATGGGCACAATTTGTACAAATGGGACATTTCACCTGTCTACCTGTCATGTCGTGCTATCGGCTGCTACCATAGGTTACTCGCTACATGACCCATCTGCAAATTTTACACGAGACTCGAGTCTTTTGTGTCCAATTAAAATCCATCATTTCCTGCTTGCAACCTCGAGAGTAAGTACAAAACCCGTCTTTGACATCACATGCACAGTGCAGCATTTGGAGATATAGCATAATAAAACATACATCACTGCCATTATTATGATAATATATTGGGATTAAAAACAAAACAATAGCAATACATGATTAATATCATGTGGAACATAGCTACCTGGTGTCACGTTGTAAGCCACAAACGTTTACAGTCCACCATTATGATCTGTTATCAAGGGTCATAAACCCACAAGAATATTTGTCTAGAATCATGGTAAGATTATTATAATCACTCGCGTCATCGCAACAAATCACAAACATGTCCGAATAATGTTGAAGCCCAATTAAACAACGACGATGCAAAAGAGAAAACCTACATGATAATGCCATGAATCTGGTTACGTCTATACATGAGATAATAATGCCCTTTAACTTTTCATGGTTTCACTCTGACGAAAGGAATCTCCTTACACACAATGTTTTTCAGTATAATAAGCAGGCCTAGCTAGGTCAATGTAATGACGCTGAAATTGATAAGCCAGAGGAACCCTCCCCCCCCCCCAAAAAAAACCCAAAACACATAAGACAAAAACTAAAAAACTGGAGCGATTTTTTAATGAACCAATTTTAACTGTTTCATCCATGTGTAGCCAAAATCTCAGCTTCTTAAAAACCTGCAATTTCAAAAATTAATATTCCTATATCATGAGATTTATCGCCTGAAATTCTCGTATCATCCCCATATTACCTTCACATTTCGTGTTGTCCCGTAATGAAAGATCAATTTCCATTTGTCTGATTATCATAGCAATAAATGGTATCCATGGGAACGCGCATTAATGGCGCTACTCCAAACCGGTTTCAAGCATTAGAGCAAAATCAGCTTGCCATAATGCAGCTTTAACCCGCATGTATCAATCTCATCTTGACAAACAACTAGGACTACTGAAAGTTACAAAAGATGTTAGCCTTCTAGAAACTGCAAAAGTGACAGTAAGTAACGCAATGGAAAACAAATACATGTATCTGCGTTTGTGGCAAATTGTGTGTGGCGTGAATCTGCGCAAGGCTATGGGCATGTCAACATATTCGTGTTTGTGTGTGGTTTTATTATGCAATTTTGTTATCATAGGTAAACACTTATATCAAGGCTGTGCAATCTGTGTATATCATTTTAGTAATCACTATTGTGCACGAATTGGCCATTGACATGTGATGATTTTTTGTACATGGAACAATGGCAGAAGATATCCTTCATATTAGTTTACACACAGTCAACGATGAAAACGTATATTGCTGGACGCATGTTCATTAATAGGGATGTACATGTACTTGATATAATCATTCCTTTGATTGAAATGAATACAGGTTTAAACATAAATTCATGCTTTGTCTCAGGTAAAAGAAATATTTCAGCAGATTTGCCTAAGATTGACAATATATAAGCTATGACAAGTCTAGACGTTTTCATCATGCATTTTTCCCCCAAGAAATTCAACCCAAACTCCCATTTTGATCCCCCACAAATCTTCCACTCATACACAAGCTTTTTCATATTCCAGTGTTATCATCTGAATTGATGATCACTTACTTGAAGTCTTTCTCGTATCTCTGCAAGGTATTATCAGCTGCCGATGACACGTTGTTCTGGATGCCACTCTCGCCAGACACCCCTTGTTTCTTGTTCCGGTCTTTGTTGCCCCCGGCCATGCCCCGTTCCTCCTGGATGGTGGACAAGATGTCCGGGCGTACCACATCTTGCAGGGTCCGCTGCTGAAGCACAGACCGGAGTTTGTGCACTTCTTCCCGCAGCTTCCCTATCTCCTGGTCCCGCTCCTTCATGAGCTCGTCGCGGGACCTCATCTCCTTCCTGACCGACTCCAGATCGGCATCTTTATCCCGGATATCCAGCGTCAGCTGGGCCACTTTGGCCCGGAGTTTGAGCACCTCCGTGTCTTCTTTCCCCTTCCCGTTCTGCGACCTGCCGGCGGCACCGGGGGAGGCCCGGGATTGTGAACCCGCTCCATTGCCCATCGTCCGTCCTCCTCCCGTAGCTGATGGACTCTGAGCAGCGCCGCCGCGGGCTGCAGGCTTTTTCGCCACGGCGGGCTTGGCTTCGCTCGGTGGCGACATGAATAATGGATTTGCCGGTCCCTATTTAATAAGGTCACGGCAGTGAAGGCTGCACTAGTCAGTCCCGACAACAGAGATTTGCGTAAAGGTTTCGCCTGAGCGATTTTAGTTTTTAATTTCTCAACTTAGATTATGTTCTTTTTTTTTTCAAAGCCTGCTTATCGTTTTGTATCGATGACCCTGAATTGTGTACTTCATTGAACTGTGTGTGGGTGGGGTAAACGATTCAGCGTTGCTTGACAACGTCGGATAGTTTGGGTTCAGTCAGATTTTGATACAAGCTTGTTCAGAGGTTTTCCTTTAACAAATTTCTGTCAGTTTTTTCAACTGCATGTAGTTTGTAGTTTAATGTAGTTTCATCTCCTCATTTGGTGAATAAAGGTATCATGCAGGTCCTTAAGTGTAATGAAAACCAGGTCGAAGCGACGGGGTGTGCGGGCCCCTTGGAGCAAGAGCATTCAATTGTTATACAAAAAAGACCGAAAAATCACAAAAAGCAAGGTCAGTGATATTTGCACGCGGGGTCTGACTTTTGTGCTGTTCGTTTAACTGGCCTACTTTTTAGTACACATCACAGCGGGAGGTATGCACTCTCGTATGTTTTCGTTGTCCTTATCCCTGCACAAAAGAGAGAAACCAAAAAGATAACCCTTCAATGACTGTACGTTTTGGTCATTGCATCAGTAATGTACCTGTAAATACAGTTATATTGTCTAGTTTGTTACAAAAAATGGCAAAATTCACTCCGATTTAGCAAAGCCGTGTAACTAGGGTCTAGTCTAAAGGGTGTGGGGTGCGGGGGAGGGTGTGGGGTGTGTGTGTGTGGGGGGGGGCTGGTCTTATGGGGGTGGGCGCTCCATGGGCGTCCGCTAAAACAACACAAAGCTCATTTCATTTTTGCCAACAGCAAAATCTACGTAAGCAAGGGATGGCACAGGGAATTTTTTTTTGGGGGGGGGATGGGGTGGGGAGAGTGGGGGAAGGGGGGGGGGTTCAGGTCCTGGATGAGACATGTCTTGAGCGGGGCGGGGGGGGGGGAACGACAGAGTGCTATGGCCAATGGGTCATTTATGATTTGTGTGTGGTTATATGCAGTGGTTTTACCTGTGCTTAAGAAGAATTTTCGGGTCACATCTGAATCAGCTTCACGAAAATAGATACGCCTTTAAGATAGGTCTTGCACGGGAACTGCATCAACAGAGGGCGTGCTTCAAAACCGCTGCAAAAAGAAAGTTTCAATGCTCCGTTACCATGCATAGTGGTTGTTTTAGGACAGAAAGCGATCAATACAAGTACAGTCACAAGGGGAGAGGACAATCAATTAAAACATATTGGTGAACATGACAGCAGGGGTATTGAGAATTCCCCTTTTATATATATTATACACATCATGGGGAGTACACCTTTAAGATAATCACTGCAGTCCATGCGGTTTGTAAATATGACGTCATTTCACATTAACCATGCGTACTGCACACGGTGTAAGCAATCCGGTTCGTTAGTGTGACGTCACCTCCAGCACTTTCTGCACGATTTGAACCGGAAGTTAACGCAGTTCGAGCGTTTGCAGCCAATGGGCGCTAGTAATCAGTGGTGTGCGCGCGTGTATGACGTTTTTACTAACGAACCGGATTGAACCGCAATGAAACCGGAAGAAGTGCGAATTAAGTGGCGTGTTTAGCCAATGAGCGCTAGTAATAAGTGGTGCGCGCGCGTGTATGACGCAGTCACTTACGAACATGGCGGCAGGGGGTGTGCGCTCTATGGGTTTTCTCACAGAGTTTGTTTGATCTTTTGGATTGTAATAATTTTATATAAGTATTTACTGTATAACATAAACAAAGAATGGACAGGTGATCTCCAACGTTGGGTGTGTACAAACAATTTTATTAATGACATTCCTATTATGAAGAATTACATAGGAGTGTGTTGACATGGCCAGTCTAGTCGCGCGTGCGCACTAGTCCTCTCTCCACGTTTTCTTGACACAAGTTGGAAACTTTTTTGCCGGAAATTGTTCCACTCTTTTGAGGAGTTTCCACACTACGAATTGACTGTTCGGGGTAAGTGGTTTCTCCGCGTTTTATTCAAGAGTGAACTGGTGCAAGTATGAGAGTTTGAACTCTTTTGTATTCGGGAGATTTTGACCGCTTTTTATGAGTAACGCACGGTATGTTTTTGACCTTCTCGGTCGGTAATTGGTATTTTCATTATACGGTGCGTATCGTTAATTTGCACACGTGTACATTGTATTTAGGTTAATACACTGGTGTCAGCTGGCCCATATACGCACGGAGCCTTGAGACAGTGCAATCACATGTCCGGTCTGGGTGAGTTGAAATACAAGTTTTGGTATAGTATTTGAGATTTATTTACTGCTCAGAGTCGGGAGAAGAAACTAATTATTGGATTATATTTTATTTTGTAGGGGATGATTTTGATCATACCAGGAATTTAACTAGGAATTTTGCGGGGATTTACGAGGAATTTGGCCAGAGGTTCTACTTCGCACTCTCGGGGTTTTGGATCATTTTGTGAGGGGTTATTTTTGGCTGCATCATCTGAGTTATTTTGAGTTGATGTCGTGGATCTTTAGGGTACACACCCACCCTAACTGCAGAACACGTTCAGGCTATAGTATTAATATTACACTACCGCACCACCAGGCGTGTGTGCCCTTAAATGACGAAAGAGTTGTACGTTAACATCAGAAATACGTCCCACCTCGACAGATAACTGCAAAAACCCAATAACAAGAAAATTACCAAACTATCTCTAAATGGGCGTTTCAGAAACCAAATGTGTTGCCAAAACACGTATTACGTTGAATGGAAATGTACAAAGAAAACTGTCTACTTGAAAATATCTTCCAAACTGAATATAATCTGACATCAGCTGTTCATCACTAAGATGGGTTGGTTGGCTTAGCATCCGGCCAAAGAAGCTTGAAATGCTGACGATAAAACGATGCGATACGGCAGTACCGGCGCCCTAAGACTAAAGATGCGACGATAACGCTCGTGAGACGACTCAATGCAACAACTACTTTCCTCCTCTGAACATGAAGTGGCTTCGAGCGGCAAGGCACCTGGGGCCGTTTTCATGGAATGCTAAACAGAAAATCTTTCCTCAGCAGAAACAGGTTACCAGCCAAAATGCTTAAAATGTTACAACTTATCTTGACTGGTTCCCGGCGGATTTTCGCTTAGCACATAACTTAATTTGCAAAGCAGTATTAAAAGCTGCGTTTCACTAACGCGAACGTAAATGTACGAACGTTTGCAGCACCCTACGAACGTACCAACCGAAGATTGCTCGGTTTTCACGTCCTCAACGTTAACGTTGGCGGCACTGACACAATCGATCGGTCAGTCTCATCTGTACGAACCGTAACGTTGGCAAATGTAAATATAGAACAGCGCCCTCAATAATGTATCCGCGTCAATCTTGTGGCAAAAGTACACCCCGGCACAAGGAGAAAATAATGAAGCTCTCCCCACGGGGGAAAACCCGGTAAAAATCACGGTCGATAAGTTCGGTCATTAAAAAAAGGAACGAACTCAAACGAATTGCACTTTTGTCGAACCATTAAGTTTATTTGATTATTCACTTGATTGATTTGTACTTTCGTAGGTTGGATGTGCAATAGTTACCTGATACCTACAGGTCAAGCTGTCTTGTATCTGCTGAAATTCCCCAGCCAAACAATTAAGTTAGTCCGATCTGTCCGTGCGTTAACATTTTGAGCGGTCAATTAAGAGATGTATTTTTTTCCTCAAAAGTCCATGCTTTGCAACAGGTCTCCACACCGTTCAAGTAAATGAGGCAAAAATTATCATGCGTAGACTGCAATTTAAATCTAACACATACGCGGTTTGAATAAAGACTACATGCATGGTACACCCATATCTCGCTCTTATTAAAAATGCACAACATCAGATGGTAATAAGCATTACGTACAACATTACTAAATATACTAGTAAACAAATAAGCTATATTTACTTCCTTATGGATTTCCCTCCCTTTGAAGGCGAGGATACTTGATATTTAGGCACTGCTCAGTTCAAGCATCTGGAGTCTTAGAATCGAATTGAATCAAATTCCTTGGAATCTTTTGAAGCCTTTCTACTTTTGTTGTCCCGCCTACGCACGACGAACGCACGAAGTCCCTCTCGTTTTGTGAAGGCATGACCGGCGAAGTGCCAGCAACGTGAGGTACTTGAGAACCCTGGGCCGTGTGTTTTGATCCGCTGGGGGTAGGGATGCTGGCTTGAGTACCACAGGCGTCCGAGTGACACGCGAAGTGCTCTTCGATCTCGTCACGCCTCGGGTACTGTTACATTATTGTGTTGGATAGTGAGGGGACAAAAAAATCGAGAGGGCCCTCTCATTGAATTCGAGTCTCAGTCTTCAAGAAATATGAAGAGGGGTTTATTCAAGAAGATGTGTTAAAGTAAAGCTAGGTATGACGAAAACAAACATGGTGTACGTGTAAATATTCCACGAGTACAAATCCGGCATTTGAACCTTCTTGCATCGCAGAATTCGAAGTTTTACAAACTATAACCAAATGAATTTTAGATGTTGGGCTGATGCAGTTCCACACGAACAGTTCGTCGCAGAGCTGACAAACCGGCGAATCGACCATTTTGGCGATTTCGATTTTTCGTTATTTTTAGGCTTTATGAAGGTTGCTCTTTCAAGTATTTATGCCAAAATTCTTAATATTTGTCTGGATTTTGAGATTCAGAGCCCCCCTTGTGGCGAATCACTCACAAAAACAAATCCATAATTTGACATAGTGACGAATACAAAATTTCGCTGGTAACCAGCTTATGTAAGGTGTGCGTTCCAAGTACCAACGAATGTTATTCGTCAGTTTGTCGGATTGCGCGTGCGTGCACGCGCAATCCGACAAACTGACGAATAGCATACAAACATTTCGCTGGTAGCCAGCTTATGTAAGGCGTGCGTTCAAAGTACCAACGAATGTTATTCGTCAGTTTGTCGGATTGCGCGTGCGTGCACGCGCGATCCGACAAACTGACGAATAGCATACAAACAGTGTGAAGAACAACCGTATTTTGCAGATTAATGTAATTTGACAAACTGACGAATGCGTTTACGATCAAATAAAATCATATCGCACAACTTCTCTGATTAAATAAGTGACCTGGTGGATACTTAGTTTCATATTTTATTCAGAATATATACTAACAGTTTTTTTATCGAAACATTAAGGGTAAAAAACGGCGCCCGGAGAAGTGCCCAACTTCAAACGCGAATTACTCCAAACAAGGTTTTCGCTTATTCGTCGGTTTGTCAGCTCTGCGACGAGTTGTAAAAGTGGAAATCTCAATTTCTTAACGACGTGCAATTTTTTTTTAAAGAAATTAAGAGAATCATTGCACTAGCATATAGGTTTCACAATCACTTCAATCTGCTTTTTGCTGGATCCGAAGAGCAAGCCTTTTGTCCTCTGATTTTCTGAGTCACTGACTTTCGACTAACACTGACTGACTGACTCCCCGAGTCACCGACTGACTGACAGATTGACGTACGGTACTGAGTGCTAATATCCTAAACTGGGAAGTCCACGTTTAGCTCGACTAGGCAAGTCTTGTTTTTTTTTCATTATCCAACGATTTCCAAAGTTTGAATCCGAAATTGGACCTCAGCTTGTTGTGAAATAAGGTTATCCTATTCCACAATTCCCAAGGTATCATGTTTAAATGTCATTCACCTGCGATGCGGGAAGATCGCGTAACCGCCCGTTACTGCCATTTGATACGCGCGAAATGTTGACAGACTCGGAGCAACTCGTGACTGTTCCTTCATTTTCGATATAAAAAAGGGAGACGATCTAATCTTGCAAAAAGCTCAGGCCTGCCAGCTGGGGAAAAGGGAAGAAGCGAGGACGAGATTGCAAGATGAATTACACAAACGCGAGGCACACGGAAAAGTGTGAAAAGCAATCTAAATGGTAACTTGAGCGTCTTCCCCCAGTCACGCACATCAAAAAGACTCGCTACAAGTTCGGAAAAAATGTTACGAGTTGATAACATTCATAACAAGGAACCATCATCTGCGAACACACGCTTCCAGGTAAAAGAAAAAGTGGCGTTATAACACACTCTAATTACGAACGTTAATGAAGTAACACGATTCGAAATTGTGTAGGCCTAGTCGGTGTACAAAATATTGGGGTTTTTACGTAGC